AGCTACATGGGAGGCTGAGGCAGGAGAATTGCTTCAACCTGGGAGGCAGAGGTTGCAGTGAGCTGAGTCCATGCCGTTGTACTCCAGCCTAGGCAACAGAGCAAGACTCCGTCTCAAAAAAAAAATATATATGAATTTTAAATATAAGCTTTTAAAAGGAAAGAAGTACTATATTAATATGAAACTACTTTCCTTCGGAGCAAAAAACATTACTAAAAACCAAGGATCATTCTGCCAAGACATTGCTGTCCTACTGTGTATGTACCAAACAACAGAGATTCAAAGTACATGAAGCAAAAACTGACAGAGATGAAAGGTGAAATAGACAAGTCCACAAATACAACTGGGGAATTGAAAACCTCATTCTCACTGGTTGCTAGACCTACCAGGGATAAAATATGTGAGGATATCAAGGAACTGAGTAACACGTCAATCAATAGGACCTAATTGATATTTATAAAATGCTCTATTCAACAGCAGACAAATCCACAAATACACTTGGGAAATTCCAAGCCTCACTCTTGTTAACCGCAACAATGGTGAAGTAGTTTTTTTGGTTCATTGATTTCCTCACGTTGAGTTTTACTGATTTCTGTTCTTTATTATTTCCTTCCTTCTGCTTTGTGTCTGTTTTGGTCTTTTAGTACTTTCTTGGGTAAGAGCTTAGATTATTGGTGTGAGAATTTTCCTCTTTCCTGATGTAAATATTTAATGCAACAAATTTCCCTTTAGCTATATCCCACATATTTTGGAAATGCGTTCTTTTCATTTTCATTTGATTCTATGTATTTTTCAGACTTTCTCTTTGGCCCATGGATTATTTAGAAGGGAGTTGCTTAATATCCTTGTATTACCAGATTTGCTGTTGTAGGGTTTACAGACGGCTTTGAGGAGGGCCTCTTTGGTGCCCAGCTTGGGCTTCGGGCTTAGGTTTTCGGCTTTCCTGGCTCGAAGAATTGAGCAGACAGCCTTACCCCCACAGTGAGTGTCCCAGCTTTAAACAAGCGTTTGCAGACCGAGAAAGAGTGAGCAGCAACACCGTTTATTGAGCAAGCGAAAGTAAAAGGTTCCACAGCATGGAAGGGTGGAAGGGGACCCAAGAGGTTGCCACTGTTGATTTTAGGGCTGCCTGGGCTTATATCCCCAAGTAATTCTGAGTTGTTGAGTGTTTGCCCCCTAGTCCTGTGTGGGGAGAGGGCTTGTGACCGCGAGTCACTTAATTTTTCCTTTTGAGTTGCCAAGGAGTTTTCCCTGGTCCTGTGGCAATGAGTCACTGAATTTTCTCTTTCTGGTGGTGGTTTCCTAGTTTCTATTGATCTTGCCAGCAATATTGGAATGTGGTTGAACAGGTAACGGATGCTTTGAACACGGCCTCCTGATAATGGTTGAAGGACCTGCATCGACCTTTATCCACGCTAGGGTTTCCAAAAAGTTCCAAATTGACCCAAAAGGTTTTATTCTTTCACTTGTGAGTGGAGATTTTCCTGTTTTTTAGTTATTGATTTCAAGCTTATTCCATTATGATCAGAGAACATCTCCTATAGAATTTCAATTATTTTGATTTTATTCTGGTTTGTTTTATTTTATTTTATGATTTTATTTTGGGGTGGAGTTTTGCTCTTGTTGCCCAGGCTGGAGTGCAATGGCATGATCTCGGCTCACCACAACCTCCACCTCCCGGGTGCGAGTGATTCTCCTGCCTCAGCCTCCCAAGTAGCTGGGATTACAGGCATGTGCCACCACGCCCGGCTAATTTTGTACTTTTAGTAGAGACGGGATTTCTCCATGTTGGTCAGGCTGGTCTCGAACTTCCATCCTCAGGCGATCAGCCTGCCTTGGTCTCTCAAAGTGCTAGGATTGCAGGTGCGAGTCACTGTGCCCGACCTCTGGTTTGCTTGATTATCCAAAATATGGTCTATCTTGTTGAATAGGTATCATAGGTGTTGGCTCGGCGTTAGACAACTTCAGAGAGGAAGTGTGAATGTCAAATGTTACAGGGAAGGAACTAGAGTCCAGTGGCAAATAATAGGTAATTGGAGAGTTTGGCAAAACTTTCAGTGCATGTGGAAGTCAGACTGTGGGATCCAGAGCGTAAAGGAATAAAGTTAGAAATTGCTCGCAAGCCTGAATTTAGGTGGAGAGAGTAAATTCTCTCCCATTGTGCTCCAGTCTATAAAGCCTATACAAGTCAGAGGGGCTCAGGGCTCTGGGGTGGCATGGCGGGTGCAAATACTGTAGGGAGGTAGAGGTAGATACGTGACGAGAGGCCAGAAGGCTCAGACACACAAATGGGTTCGGAGCAAGACTGCCAGTAGAGGGATGGATGCAGTTTCTTGGACCATAAGGAAGTGTCCGCAGAGTTTATTTCCTGAGTCACCAGCAGGGTTTCTGAGAATTGATATAATACAGGGTAAGGCACAGGGGTGTGTCCTAACACACACACACCCCTTGGGCCCTAAAAGGAGTGAGAAAGAAGATCTCAGGGGACCGTCAAATATAGAGTATTAATTTGTGAGATCTCCCACCACAACCACCCCATTTCTGGGGACTCTGGCTGTGCAGAGTGATGGTGAATTTTGAAGGCAGGGGGCTTCTCTCCGTGGTCAACCAGGGGAAACCTCAAGGCTTGCAGAGAATTGAGGGCCAGAAACACCCACGCAGCTCACCTTCCCCTTCTTCCCCTTCACTCTCATTTGTCTCTGAGTGTCTCAAACTACAAGAGGGATGGTTGGGTGTGGTGGCTGACGCCTGTAACCCCAACATTTTGGGAGACTGAGGTTGGTGGATCATGAAGTCAGGATTTTGAGACCATCCTGGCCAAGATGGTTAAATCCCATCTCTACTAAAAATACAAAAAACAAAAAAAGAATAGCTGGGCATGGTGGCGCAATCCTGTAATCCCAGCTACTCGGGAGGCTGAGGCAGGAGAATCACTTGAGCCCGGGAGACGGAGGTTGCAGTGAGCCGAGATCATGCCACTGCACTGTAGGCTGGTGACAGAGCAAGCAATCCTCCCACCTTAGCCTCCTGAATGGCTGAGACTACACGTGCACGCCCCCACACTCAGTTTATTTTTGTATTTTTTGTAGAGAAAAGGTCTCACTATGTTTCCCAGGCTGGTCTTGACCTCGTGGCCTCAAGTGATCCTTCTGCCTCAGCCTCCCAAGTAGCTGGGACTACAAGTGTGCACCACCGTGCCTGGCTAATTTTTGTATTTTTTGTAGAGACAGGGTCTCAATATGTTGGTCTTGAACCAGTCTGGTCTCAAACTGCTGGCCTTAAGTAATCCTCCTGCCTCAGCCTCCCAAAGTGCTGGAATTATAAACTGAGCCACTGTGCCTGGCCTCACACAGAGAATTTTCACAGCTTGGTTTGCAATTGCTGTTTCCTCCTGGGAATCCTGATATCTCCTCTTCCCAGTCCTGATCTCTCTCAGGGACCCAGCAGACCCTTCCATCAACCTTTAGATCCCCCAGGTACCCACACACCCTTTTCCCGAAGCTTCCACTTCCTGTGGATCCCCCCGCGCCTGCTGGTTGCTTGTTATCTCTGGCTTTTTGCCAGCCTCCTGTTTACACTCACTTCATTTTCCTGGTTGACTTTATGTCCCAGTCAACCCTGAGCCTTTATCTTGTGCCTTGGGTGGGTGTGGGGATGGGTCAGAGCCCCAGGGAGAGAGATGCCTCCATGCACCCACCCACTCTGGCACCCAGAGGCAGGCCCCTGTGATAAGAGAGGAGGAGCCCCAGGGGCAGCAGCTGCTAGGGTGTTGGTCCAACACCCAGGCTTTGCAGCTGCTGGCCCCAGGGGTGACTCCTCAGCAAACAATGAATCCCAGGTCAGGGAGAAGGCAAGCTGGGCATGGGTCAGGCCAGCCCCTCAGAGGAACTGACTCCATCTGAGAAGGCCCAGCTTTTGGGTCATTCTACTCCTGTGTGCAACCTAGACCTCCACCTCCCATCTCAGACAAATTCTGGGGTGATGGAGAGGCACAGAGTCCCCTAATGCTGTTCAGCTAGCCCCTGCTAAAAGCAAACCCTGCTTACAAAAAAAACCAAAGAAAAACAAAAAAACCCAAAACGAAAAACCCCAATTTCTCCAAAACCAACAGGTCCTGGCTCTTCGTCAGTCCCCCAGGCTGGGGAGTCCTTGGACACCCATATCCTGTTTCCAGCACCACTGAGGGGCAGGTGTCTGGAGTCAGAAATAGAATCCGGGTGTCTGTGTGGAGCTGGGAAGCAGAGGCCATTGTCCCTTCAGCCCCGATGCCCTCCTGCATCCCTGCCTGGGTCCGCACCAGAAGAGGCTGCCTCCCAGCTCTACAGTCCTCGAGAACTTCTTTATGTCTCTGGGCTGTAAAGATGCCCAGAGAGGCTGGTTTTGGGTTCCCATTTTGCAGATGAGAAAAACCCCAGGGGCCCCGCTGGGCTGCGGTGGAGGTCTTGTGTCCCGCTCCATAGCCTCAGACTCTGCCCACCCCAGACACCTGCCTCCAGTGGTGTCTGGGAGCAGGATGTGGGTGGCCAGGGACTCCCCAGGCTGTGGGGACTGAGGAGGAACCAGGACCCGGATATGGGTCTCTCACTGTTATTCCTGGCGGGAGCCAAAGGAAGGAATATAGCTGCTCAGCCAGCAAATATGGCCATATGCCACTTCCCGCCCTCGCTGCCCACACCCCCAACCCACCCCAGCTCCGCCCAGGGACTCAGGCACTCAGCTCCCTGCTCCCCAGCTGTCTCCCTCAGGGACCCCACCCTTCCAGGACCAAACTTTCCAGAAGGCTTCCAGGGAGTGGCCACCAGCCATCCTCACTCGCTTCTTGGAGCCCAGGCATCCAGACTCACCCTTTTCTCAGGCCTTCACAGTTTCCCATTTCATCTGGCCCCAAGGACCGCAGCCTCCTCCAGGAAGTTGGCATCATCTGCCTGGCACGTGGCCCAAGGTGTGGCCTCAGGGGCCAAGAAACGCCACTATATAGCCCTGCCCCACAGCTGGCCCTGCAGCTCCAGGGACCTGCAGGTGAGAAGGGCTGGGGACCCCTTTGGAAGTGGGACAGCAGGTCCCCTACTCTTGCCCCTGGCTGTAGGCCTCCTTGTCCTACCCCTAGACTCACTAGACAGCCAACTCCCCACCCCTGTCCCTGGCTCCTGCTCTCCCATCCCACCTCCAGACCCACTGGACAGCCAGCCTCCCCCCCACACACTGGTCCTTGGATCCAGCCCACCTGGCCCCATTTGCCTGACTTCGTTCCCCACCTCAGCTTTTGTGCTCCCAGGTGACCCTTGTCCTGAGGGTGGGCCCTTCTTCCCAGGACAGTCTCCAGCAGAGGCGGCAGATCAGCCTTCTATGATCCCTTCTCTTTTCCTACTGCAGCCATGGGTCCCCTGTGGAGCTGCTGGACGCTCTGGGCTGGAGCAACCCTCCTGTGGGGTAAGTCTGACCGAGACTCTTGCCTGGGTCCACACCTTCCATGTGTGCCTCCTCCACATGTCACCCCAAGCCAGCTGAGAGGGGAGAGAGGACCTTAGACTCTGTAGAGGAATGTGGTAGGATTCATCCATTCTTACCCTTTTCTGGCTGCGAGCTGGTCAAAACCTTAGTCCCCAAACCCAAGTGTCCAAGAACTTTCTTGGTTTTCTGCACCTAAACTAAGGTTTGGACTCTGAGCCTCATTCTGCTGAGTTGATGGAAAATTTCATGAAAGTCATTCTTGGAGGGTGTTGTCCCCAATTCTCCCAGGGATGTATCCAGAACTAAAATTTTACATAAAGCCAAAGTACTGGGGGAAAGATGGGCTGCGAGGGTCCTCTAATCACCAGTCAGCATCCATCTAGGTGACTTCTGAAATGCCCATTATCCCTGATCCCCTGGCCCCCTGGGATATGGAGGCCCCCTTTACATGGAAGGAGGTCATTCCATAACCCCACACTTTCTTCAGGATTCCTTAGATCTCTTTCTCTCTCCTCAGCTTCAGGGTCTCCCTTCCTAGTTGGGGGTGGTCAGAAGCTCCCACTGCCATCTATTTCTAGCAGACAATTCGTCCACGCTTCCCAAATCCCTTTTTTCCCTTTATCCCCTTTTGACAAACCCCTAAGTCCTATTATTGTTATTATTATTATTAGTGAGACAGAGTTTCGCTCTTGTAGCCCAGACTAGAGTGCAATGCCACAATCTCAGCTCACTGCAACCTCCACCTCCTAGGTTCAAGTGAGTCTCCTGCCTCAGCCTCCCTAGTAGTTAGAATTACAGGCACCCTGTGACACCACATTCAGCTAATTTTGTATTTTTAGTAGAGATGGGGTTTCACCATGTTGCTCAAGCTGGTCTCGAACTCTTAACCTCAAGTGATCCACCAGCCTTGGCCTCCCAAAGTGCTGGGATTGCAGGCAAGAGCCACTGTGCCTGGTCCCTGCAAGTCCTATTAAGACAAAAATCAGCTGGCTGCAGGGGGTCACGCCTGTAATCCTAGCACTTTGGGAGGCTGAGGCAGGGGGTTCACTTGAGCCCAGGAGTTCAAGACCAGCTTGGGCAGCAAAGTGAGACCCTGCCTCTACAAAAAATCAAAAAAATGAGCCAGGCACATAGTGCGTGCCTTTGGTCCCAGCCATATGGGAAGCTGAGAGAGGAGGATCCCTTGAGCCCAGGAGGCTGAGGCTGCAGTGTATTGTGTTTAAGCCACTGCACTCCAGCTTGTAAAAAGATGGAAATCACACACTGGCAGCACAGTACATCCACCTTGAGCCCCACGGTGTTTAAAAGAATTGTGGGTTGGAGATTTCACATGAAAATTCAGATAGCCAGTTTCTCTTGAAAAACAGTAAGATCATCTGGGCATGGTGGCTCATGCCTGTAATCTCAGCACTTTGGAAGGCTGTGGCAGGTGAATCACCTAAGGTCAGGAGTTCAAGACCAGCCTGGTCAACGTGGTGAAACCCTGTCTCTACTAAAAATACAAAATTAGCAGGTGTGGTGGCACACGCCTGTAATCCCAGCTACTTGGGAGGCTGAGGCAGGAGAATCACTCGAACCTAGGAGGCAGAGGTCGTAGTGAGCTGAGATCACGCCATTGTACTCTGCCTCAAAAGAAAAAAAAAAGAAAAACGGGAAGGTCTTACATTTTTAAAAAGCTCACATTCTTTCATTGTAACAGGTGAAAGTTACTACCAACAACCCACTGTATTTTTTTTTTTTACTAATTTATATATTAAAACTTTTTTATTTTTGTGGGTACATAATAGTTCTATGCCTTTATGGTACCTGTGATACTTGGATACAGGCATGCGGTGTGTAAGGATAGAGTCAGGGTAACTAGGGCTTCCTTCACCTCAAGCGTTTGTCACCTCTTTGTGTTAGGAGCTTTCCGGTTCCACACTCAGCTATTTTAAAATATGCCGTAAGTTACTGTTAACAATAGCCATCCTGTTCTGCTACCAAATACTAGATTTTATTCATTTTATTTAACTGTTTAACTGTAATTTTGTACCCATTAACCATCTCTACTTATCCCCGACTCCTCCCACTATCCTTTCCAACCTGTGGTGACCGTCATTTTACTCTCTATCTCCATGAGTTCATCAGTTGAAACTTTAAACTCCCACATATGAATGAGAGCATGTGAGACTTGTCTTGTCTTCCTGTGCTGGCTTGTTTCACTTAACATGTCCTTTAGTTCCATCCATGTTGTTGCAAATAACAAGATCTCATTCTTTTTTTTTTTTTTTTTTTGAGACAGAGTCTCACTCTGTCACCCAGGCTGAGCACAGCAGTGTGATCTCAGCTCACTGTAACCTCTGCCTCCCAGGTTCAAGTGATTCTCGTGCCTCAGCCCCCTGAGTAGCTGGGATTACAGGCGCATGCCACCATGCATGGCTGTTTTGTATTTTTAGTAGAGATGGGGTTTCACCATGTTGGCCAGGCTGGCCTCAAACTCCTAACTTCAAGTGATTGATTCACCTGCCAAAATGCTAGGATTACAGGTGTGAGCCGCCGCACCGGAATAATTCTCCATTCTTTGTATGTGCCACCTTTCCTTTATCCATTCATCTGCTGATGGACACGTAGGTTGATTCCATATCTTGGCTGTTAAGAATAGTGCTGCAACAAACATGGGAGAGCAGATGTCTCTTGGATATACTGACTTCCTTTTTTTCAAATATATATATCCAGCCCTGGGATTGCTGTATCCACAGTAGTGCTAGTTTTGGTTTCTCAAAACCCTTCATATTATTGTTGATAGTGATTGTACTGATTTACAGTCCCACCAACAGTGTAGGGGGTTCCATTTTCTCCATATGCTCACCAGCATTCGTTATTGCCTTTCTTTAGGATAAAAGCCATTTTAACTTGGGTGAGACGATACTTTCTTGTCTTTTTAATTTGCATTTCTCTGCTGATTAGTGATGCTGAGCATTTTTTTAATATACTTGCTGGCCATATGTATGTCTTCTTTGAGCAATGTCTATTAAGATCTTTTGCCCAGTTTTTTTTTTTTGAGATGGAGTCTCACTCTGTTGCCCAGGCTGGAGTGCAATCTCAGCTCACCACAACCTCCACCTCCCAGATTCAAGCAATTCTCCTGCCTTAGCCTCTTGAGTAGCTGGGATTACAGGCATATGCCACCACACCTGGCTAATTTTTGTATTTTTAGTAGACACAGGGTTTTCTCCATGTTTGTCAGGCTGGTCTTGAACTCCTGACCTCGTGATCCACCCACCTCAGCCTCCCAAAGTGCTGGGATTATAGGCATGAGTCACTGTGCCTGGCCTCTTTTGCCCATTTTTTTTTTTTTGAGACAGAGTTTCGCTCTTGTTACCCAGGCTGGAGTGCAATGGCGCAATCTCGGCTCACCGCAACCTCTGCCTCCTGGGTTCAGGCAATTCTCCTGCTTCAACCTGCAGAGTAGCTGGGATTACAGGCACGCACCACCATTTTGCCCATTTTTAAATCAGATTAAGCTGGGTGTGGTGCCTCATGCCTGTAATACCAGCACTTTGGGAGGCTGAGACAGGCAGATTACTTGAGGTCAGGAGTTCAAGACCAACCTGTCCAACATGGTCAAACCTTGTCTCTACTAAAAGCACAAAAATTAGCTGGGTGTGGTGGTGCATGCCTGTCATCCCAGCTACTTGGGAGGCTGAGACAAGAGAATTGCTTGAACCCAGGAGGTGGAGGTTGCAGTGAGCCAAGATCGTGCATTGCATTCCAGCCTGAGTGACAGAGTGAGACCCCCATCTCAAACACACACACACACACACACACACACACACACACACTCAGATGATTTGATTTTTTTTCCCTATTGAGTTGAGATCCTTTTACATTCTGGTTGTTAATCCCTCATCAGTGGCCTATGGAAATGTTACTGATTTCTGCATGTTGATTTTGTGTCCCGCAAATTTATTGAATTTATCAGTTCTAATAGCTTTTTGATGGAGTCTTTAGGTTTTTCTAAATATAAGATTGTATCATCTGCAAACAAGGATAGTTTGACTTTTTTCCAATTTGGATGCCTTTATTTATTCTCTTACCTAATTGCTTTAGCTAGATGGGTTGTAAATATTTTCTCTTATTCTGTCAGTTGTGTCTTTATTTTGTGAATTGTTTCCTCTTTTGAGCGGAAACTTTTTAGGTTGATGTAATCTCATTCGTCCATATTTCTTTGGTTGCCTGTGCTTTTGATGTATTACTCAAAAATTTTTTTGCCCAGACCAATGAACTGGAGTTTCCCCAATGTCTTCTTGTAGTAGTTTCATAGTCGGAGGTCTTACATTTAAGTCTCTAATCCATTTTGATTTTATTTTTGCATATGGTGAGAGATAGGGGTCTAGTTTCACTCTTCAGCATATGGATATCCAGTTTTCCCAGCACCATTTATTGAATAGACTGTCTTTCCCTGCAGCGTATGTTCTTGGCACCTTTTTCAAAAATGAATTCACTGTAGGTCGGTGGATTTGTTTCTGAGTTCTGTATTATGTTCCACTGGTCCATGTGTGTGTTTTTATGCCAGTATCACACTGTTTTGGTTACTATAGTTTTGTAGTATAATCTGAAGTCAGGTAATGTGATTCCTCCAGTTTTGTTCTTTATGCTCAGAATGGTGTTGGCTTTCTGTGTATAAACGTTGAGATTAGTCTTCTATTTCTGCGAAGAATGTCATTGGTGTTTTCATAGGGATTGCATTGAATCTGTAGATTGTTTTGGGTAGGATGGACATTTTAACAATATTGTGTCTTCCAGTCCATGAACATGGAATATATTTCCATTTTTTTGGGGTGTGTGTCCTTTTTCATTTTTTTGATTATGATTTTATAGTTTTTATTTTTTTGAAATTTAAAGAAAAAATTTACTGAAGATCCAAAAAACAATTCCCAAAAGATTGAATTTTCCAGAAAACTAGCTACACAATACATTGCATCTATCATGTTAAAACGTGCAGTGGACACAAATACAAAAACCATGAAACAAGCCACCATTCGTCAACAATTTGAGCAAAGATAAAATGCCTAAGTAACAACATGGATGACTTGCAAAGGATGGGCTCTTTAAGCACCATTAAAAAAAAAAACAAAAAGGAGCACTAATGGATGCGTGTGTTCAGTTCTATACACTGAATCGAACCTTTGGCACTAGGAATCAGAGCATTTTGTCATATAGCATTAACACGTATTATCAAAGTGCATAGTGTCAAAGGAATAGAACCACCAGCATTCAAAAGCAGCTTTGTCGACTAGGCAATAAACACTCTACAGCATATCCCTCTGTTGTCCATCATTGACTGCACTGGGAGCAACTTTAAAATGCAAAACAAACAAAAAAAACGGCCGGGTGCGGTGGCACACGCCTGTAATCCCAGCACTTTGGGAGGCCGAGACGGGTGGATCACAAGGTCAAGAGATTGAGACCATCCTGGTCAACATGGTGAAACCTCCTCTCTACTAAAAATACAAAAAAATTAGCTGGGCACGGTGGCGCGTGCCTGTAATCCCAGCTACTCGGGAGGCTGAGGCAGGAGAATTGCCTGAACCCAGGAGGCGGAGGTTGCGGTGAGCCGAGATCGCGCCATTGCACTCCAGCCTGGGCAACAAGAGCGAAACTCCATCTCAAAAAAAAAAAAAAAAAAAAAAAAAAGAAAAAAAAAGAAAAGAAAAAAGGAGCTATTACCCCTTTTATTTTTTCTGTTTAAAATCAAACAGAAAACAAACATCAATTGTGATACACTAACATCTCCAAAGCACATCATTTGTACAAGAGATAGACTAAGAACAAAAATGTGTTTACGGAGATGCAAACATAAGTGAGTGAGAGCGCCTCCCACGCAGCTTCCCGATGGCACTCAGGAGGAGCCGTTCATAATCACTGGCACTAAATAAAGTTGCAGAGTTCTTTGCCAGGTGCTTTAGGAAATCGTGAAGATAATTCAGTAATAAAGCAAGACTCTTCTCATCCAGAGGTGTATAGGCCAACATTGCTCCAATTCGTACAAATAGTCTCAGTAGATGCGGCGCCCCATACACCTGGGACACGGGTGCATCAGGGTGATCTGCAAGAATTCAGCGTACTGCGGTCTCTCAAATTTGTAGAGTGGCTGGTCCCACCATTACACTGAAGTATTCCTTTATCCCTGCACAGCTTCATTAACCGCATGCTCCTTATTATCTGTGTTTCCACGAGATTTCTTGTAATTTGCATAATCCTGAAGAATGGAATCCACATTCTTCTTGGCAGGAAGATAAAAGAGCTGCTTTTGCCTGGTAATTAAGTCCCAGTCATCAACAAGCCGTGGTTTTAGTTCGTCAGGAATCTTGACTTTAACTTCAACTCTGTTCATGAATGTTTCCTCATTTTCAACAGTAGGATCTACCCGGGCCCTTTTCTTCCGAGGAGGCTGAGGGGTCTCACTGGTGCTGCCACCATCTCCATCTCCAGGTGTTTTCTGTTTGTTCTTTTTGTTTTCACTTCAACATTTTTCTGTTGCAGACGAGATGTCTTCTTTCCCGGGACAGCCCCTCTCATCTTTCCCTCTGCATACTGCTCCTGATTGGCTTTTTTTTTTTTTTTTTTTTTTAATTTGAGACAGAGTTTCGCTCTTGTTACCCAGGCTGGAGTGCAATGGCACGATCTCGGCTCACCGCAACCTCCGCCTTCTGGGTTCAGGCAATTCTCCTGCCTCAGCCTCCTGAGTAGCTGGGATTACAGGCACGCGCCACCATGCCCAGCTAATTTTTTTGTATTTTTAGTAGAGAGGAGGTTTCACCATGTTGACCAGGATGGTCTCGATCTCTTGACCTCGTGATCCACCCGCCTCGGCCTCCCAAAGTGCTGGGATTACAGGCGTGAGCCACCACGCCCGGCCCTGATTGGCCTTTTGAAGTTCTCGCTGTTTTCGATTTGTTCTCGCAAATGGGTGTTCACATGTTTGAGCACTGGGCTCTCCGGAACCCACTCATCCCAATTTTTATTCCAACCATTGTAATGTATGAAGTATTTCACTTGTTTGTCCTTCATGGCAACCTTTGCACACTTTGCTTCACACAGAAGAGGCCCATGAAAGCACCGCACTTGCTCACCCTCCTGGAATTCAGGCTTCGGGTCCTGCTTCGGCGCCATTTATAAGTGATTCCCACCTCCTCCTTCTCCCACCGCCCCCGACTACCGCCGGTTTTATGGTTTTTATTGCAGAGATCTTTCATTTCTTTGGTTTCTTCCTAGGCATTTTATTTTATTTGTGGCTATTATACATGGGATTACTTTCCTTTTTTTTTTTGATTGTTTGCTGTTAGCATATAGAAATGCTACTGAATTTTATATGTTGATTTTGCATCCTGCAAGTTTAGTGGATCTATCAGTTCTAATAGCTTTTTGATGAAGTCTTTAGGTTTACCCTTTTTTTTTGAGATGGAGTTTCACTCTAGTTGCCCAGGCTGAATGGTGCTATCTCGGCTTACTACAATCTCTGCCTCCCAGCTTCAAGCAATTCTCCTGCCTCAGCCTCCCAAGTGGCTGTGATTACAGGTGCCCACCACCATGCCCAGCTAATTTTTTGTATTTTTAGTAGAGATGGAGTTTCACCATGTTGGCCAGGCTAGTCTTGAACTCATGACCTGAGGTGGTCTGCCTGCTTTGGCCTCCCAAAATGCTGGGAATACAGGCTTTAGCCAAGTTTTGTTTGTTTTAAAGACAGAGTCTCCCTCTGTCACCCAAGCTGGAGTGCAGTGGTGCAGTCTTGACTCACTGCAACCTCCACCTTTTTGGTTCAAGCGATTCTCCTGCCTCACCCTCACAAGCAGCTAGGATTACAGGCATGTGCAACCACACCCAGCTAATTTTTGTATTTTTTTTTTTAGTAGAGTTGGAGTTTTGCCATGTTAGCCAGGCTGGTCTTGAACTCCTGACCTCATTTGCTTGCCTCAGTCTCCTAAAGTACTGGGATTATAGGCGTGAGCCACCAAGCCCAGCTGTCTTTAGGTTTTTCTAAATACAAGATTATAACATCTGCAGACAAAGATCTTGACCTCTCTTTTCCCAGTTTGGATGCGCTTTATTTCTTTCTCTTGTCCAAGTGCTTTAGCTAGCACTTGGACAAGAGAAATATGTTGAAGAATAGTGGTGAAAGTGGACATCCTTCTTGTGCTCCAGATCTTAGAGCAAAGACTTTCGGTTTTTCCCCATTCAGCATGATACCAGCGGTGGGTCTGTTGTACATGACTTTGATCACGTTGAGGTGTGTTCCTTCTATTTCCAGTTGCTTGAGAGTTTTTATCATGAAAGGATGTTAAATTTTATCAAATGCCTTTTTTGGCATCCATGGAAGTGATCATATAGTTTTTGTCCTTTATTCTGTTGATAAGATGTATCACACTGATTGATGTGCATCAGCAACAACGCACTTTAGATGGTGTAGGAGTGCCAGTTCCATAGCCACCCCTCCGGGACTGTTTCACACATTTATATTCCTTAGCTGGCCCCATCAGCATCTGAGTCCGAGGGCCCTGTCTAAAGTATTCAGACTTTTGAAAAACAAGAGCCAGAAGGGCTTATAGATGAATGCTGCATGAATCAGAAGAAAAGAAAGAGAATAGGAAAGAAAAGAAAGCCCAAGCTAATATTTCAACATGTTTCTGGGTGTAGAGCAAGAGGTGGGGAGGATTGGATAAGTGGACTCAGAACTGCGTTTTCTCAACCAGGATTGACCCAGGAGGCCTCAGTGGACTCCAAGAACACTGGCAGGGAGGAATTCCTCACCGCCTTCCTGCAGAACTATCAGCTGGGCTACAGCCGCGCCTACCCCAGCCTCCTTATCTCCAGTCTGTCAGAGAGCCCTGCCTCAGTCGTCATCCTCAGCCATGCAGACAATACCTCACAGGAGGTCACAGTGAGGCCCAGGGAGTCAGTCATGGTCAACATCAGTGCCAAGGCTGAGATGATTGGCAGCAAGACCTTCCAGCATGCGGTGGTGGTCCACTCTGACCATGCCATCTCTGTGCAGGCGCTAAACAGCAAGCCCGACACAGCGGAGCTGACACTGCTGCGGCCCAGCCCGACCCTGGGCACTGAGTACTTTGTGCTCACGCCCCCTGGCACCTCAGCCAGGAATGTCAAGGAGTTTGCAGTGGTGGCTGGTGCCGCAGGTGCCTCGGTCAGTGTTAAGCTGAAGGGGTCAGTGACATTCAGCGGCAAGTTCTACCCAGCAGGCGGTGTCCTAAGTGTGACTCTGCAGCCCTACAGTGTGGCCCAGCTCCAGAGCACAGTGGATCTCTCGGGGTCAAAGGTCACAGCCAGTAGCCCTGTGGCCGTCCTCTCTGGCCACAGCTGTGCCCAGAAACACACGACCTGCAACCATGTGGTGGAGCAGCTGCTACCCACATCTGCCTGGGGCACCCACTATGTAGTACCCCCTCTGGCCTCCCAATCCCGCTACGATTTGGCCTATGTTGTGGCTAGCCAGGCCACAAAGCTGACCTACAACCACGGGGGTACCGCTGGCTCCCGTGGGCTCCAGGAGGGCGATGTGGTGGAGTTTGAGGTCCGGCCATCCCGGCCACTCTACCTCTCTGCAGATGTGGGCATTCAGGTCCTGCTGTTTGGCACAGGTGCCATAAGGAATGAAGTGACCTATGACCCCTTCCTGGTCCTGATCCCCAGTGTGGCGGCCTACTGCCCTGCCTATGTGGTCAAGAGTGTGCCAGGCATTGAGGGCGTGGCCCTGGTGGTGGCACAGACAAAGGCTGCCAGCGAGCTGACCATAGATGGGCAGGCAATGGGGGCCAACCTCACCTGGGCATCTGTGCCAGGCAGCAACTTCTCATACGCTGAAGTGGAGCTCGGCACAGCTGACACGGTCCATGTGGCCCAGGCTACCACCAACTTCGGGATGCTCACCTTTGGGCTGACCAAGGATGTGGGCTATGCGACAGCAGCTGATTGCAGCCAGAGTGAGTGATGGAAAATGACCTCTGGCTCTGTCTACGTTGTGACCGCTTTCCCACCCAACTGCTCCTCTGTGGCTTCAGGATCAGCTGGGCTGTCCTTCCCTCATCTCCCTTCTCTGAGACATCCTTCCTCAAGCCTTCTCAGCCCCTCCCCTCCTCCCAGAAACAATATTCTAAATATTTAGCAACCAGGGCGAGCTGGAGCACTACCAGTCAGAAGTCAGCAGCAGGAGCACTGCAACAGGGTCCCAAAGCCCCCACCAAACCGGCATCAGCCCTTGTCTGTTGGTTTGTCAGGGGAAGGGTCCTGGGGGAGAGCCAGGGTGCTGAGAAGGAGGGATCTTTGGGGTTGTGGGGGGGACAGTCAGGTCAGCAGCTTCTTACTAACCACTTTGGAAATATTTTGATATTTTAGCAACTGACATAGCTACACCAGTTGCTAAGCTGCTCCCCACACCTCAAATAGGAATGTTGATACCCAACCTCAGGAGGTCTAAATATACAATAATCAGATGGCTACGTGTTGGGGAGGGGGAGTATCTTGCAGTCTTTCTAGATGTTTCACGTGTTTTTGACACAGTTAGTGTATATGAGCTGGCAGTTTGTGTGACCTCAGGCTCAGCCCATGAGAAGCTGCTGGTATAGTGCAGGATGGGATCTGAGGACACACACGCTACAGCCAACCTCCCAGGGTTCAAACCCCAGCTCTGCTGTGTGACCTTGGACAAGTGACTTCATCTCTCTGGGCTTTAGTTTCCACATCTGTAAAATGGAGATAACTACTTCTCCTTCAAAACTTTTTTGTTTTAGAGATAGTGTGTCACTCTGTCACTCAGACTGGAGTGCAGTGGTGTGATCATAGCTCACTGCAGGCTTGAACTCTTGGGCTAAAGCAATCCTCCCTCGGCCTCCCAAGTAGCTGGGACTACAGGCATACACCACCACACCCAACTAATTTTTAATTTATTTTTTTGTAGACACAGGGTCTTGCCATGTTGCCCAGGCTGGTCTCAAATTCCTGGGCTCAAGAGATCCTCCTGCCTCAGCCTCCCAAAGGGCTGGAATTACAGGCCTGAGCCACCATACCCAGCTGCAAAAACTTTTGAGGACTGGGAGACACATAGAGGAAAGGTGATTTCTTCCCATGTAGTCCCTGTCACGCTAGGACTCTGGTGTTCCTGGACCTGGCAAAAATGCCCCTCCCCTGCCGTCCAAGGCATGGAAGCCACCAACTTCAAAGAGCCACTTTGGGCTTGAGAAATAAAACGAGGGAGTAGTGGGTGATTAATTACAATGGGTAACACTTCATTTAACACCTAGGTTCAGTTCTAAAGCTTTCTTGGGTTTGTTTCGAGACAGTCTGGCTCTGTTTCCCAAGCTGGAGCGCAATGGCGTGATCTTGGCTCACTGCAACCTCCACCTCCCAGGTTCAAGTGATTCTCCTGCCTCAGCCTCCCAAGTAGCCAGGATTACAGGCATGCACCACCACGCCTGGCTTATTTTTGTATTCTTAGTAGAGACGGGTTTCACCTTGTTGGCCAGGCTGGTCTGGAACTCTTTTTTTTTTTTTCAGAGCTCCTGCAAATCAAGGTCTCAAACTCTTGACCTCATGATCCACCCGCCTCGGCCTCCCAAAGTGCTGGGATTACAGGCTTGAGCCACCGTGACCTGCCAGCTTTCTTCAGTTTTACCTTATTTACACCTAACTCCTCCCACCAAGATCCCTATGAAGGAAGTATTATTGTCACCCTCACCTCCAGGTTACAAATGAGGAAACTGAGCCAGAGGGAGTTTAAAACAACTTGCCCACTGTCTCAGAGTCAATTGGTTGAGCCAGGATTCCTACCTAGGCAGTCTGACTCCACAGTCCTTTTCATTCTGCTGAAGTCTCTGTCTTCCATTTTCTGTCCTTAAAAAAAATCCCTTACCTCTTTTTGATCCTGGAGGGAAGGAAGGGAAGAGGGGAAAAGAGGGAGAGAAAACCACAAATTAGCATTTTAATGACGGTTTCTGCCTTTCCTTATTAGGCTGTCCTGTGTTAAATTGGAGACTCAGAAAACCTGGGGTTTTCAGAGAGGTCTGAGCAACTCTCTTCCTGTGGTGTTTCAGACCTCGGTTTTCCCCACCTTTAAAATGGGCAGCTGCGAGCAAACTGCTCAAGCTTCCCAGGCAAGGTGGGCTCCAGGATCTCCAGGATGCCTCCCCACTGAGGTGTGAGGACTCTCTTCTTCCTTCTCCTTCTCCTCCTTCTTCTTACTCCTGCTTCCTCCTCCTCCTCCTTGCTCTGTGCCCAGGCTGGAGTGCAGTGGTGAGATCTCAACTCACTGCAACCTCCCCCTCCCGGGTTCAAGCGATTCTCCTGCCTCAGCCTCCCAAGTAGCTGGGATTACAGGCTTGTGCCTCCACGCTCCACTAATTTTTGTATTATTGGTGTAGACAGGGTTTTACCATGTTGGCCAGGCTGGTCTCGAACTCCTGACCTCATGTGATCCACCCGCCTCGGCCTCCCAAAGTGCTTGGATTACAACCCCGCAGACACTTCTGACTGTCTTTTCACCCTTCTCTTCCCTCCCCAGCTGTGCTGTCCCCAGCGGAGCCCTCCTGCGAAGGTGTGAAGTGCGCAGCCGGGCAGCACTGCAAGGTGGTGGACGGGAAGGCCAAGTGCGTGGCGATGTCCTCTGCTGTCTGTCGCGCCCAGGGCGACCCCCATTACACCACCTTCGATGGCCGTCGCTATGACATGATGGGCACCTGTTCGTACACGATGGCGGAGTTGTGCAGCGAGGACGACACCCTGCCCGCCTTCAGCGTGGAGGCCAAGAACGAGCACCGGGGCAGCCGCCGCGTCTCCTACGTGGGCCTGGTCACCGTGCGCGCCTACAGCCACTCCGTGTCGCTGACCCGCGGGGAAGTTGGCTTCGTCCTGGTGAGTGCCTGGAGGCTTCGGGGACTTAACATCCATGAGCTGCGGGTCCGAAGGCGGAGGCAGAGCCCAGTAGCCGACCTCAAACCAGGATGCGGAGAAATGGGCCATGGGGATGAAGGGTCGGGAGGAGAGGTTTGAAAATCAGTAGCGGCCGGGCGCGGTGTCTCATGCCTGTAATCCCAGCACTTTGGGAGGCCGAGGCGGGCGGATCAAGAGGTCAGGAGTTCGAAACCAGCCTGACCAACATGGTGAAACCCCGTCTCTACTAAAAATACAAAAATTAGGCAGGCATGGTGGCACACACCTGTAATCCCAGCTACTCAGGAGGCCGCGGGAGGAGAATTGCTTGAACCCAGGTGGTGGAGGTTGCAGCGAGCCGAGATCGCACCATTGCACTCCAGCCTGGGCGACAGAGTGAGACTCCATCTAAAAAAACGAAACAAACAAACAAACAAACAAACAAATCAGTAGCAGGACCTTAGAACCCTGCCCTCCAGCAATCCCACATCTAGAAATTTTGAGGATATTCAGAGACAGGGTTCACCTGGTCGGGTGGGGTGGGGGGAATGCCAACATGGATTATAATAGCAAAAAACAAAAACAAACAAACAAAAACTGTCCAAGTTAGAAAGGAAACTCAATATCCAACAATGGGGGGTTCACCTTGACCAAATAATGAAATCTAATGAGCCCCTGCTATGCACCAGATATGTTTCTTAGCACTCTTCTCATCTTAATGCACTTAATGCTCACAAGCTCTGTCCAGCAGGCATTGTTATTGTGAACGTGTTCAGCCTGGGAAACAGGTTGAGATAAGCTAGTAAGTTCCCCAGGGCTCAGAGCTAGTAAGAGGTAGAGGTCAGGGCACAGGCATACAGGCTCTGGAGTCCCTGTTCTTAATCCCTCAGCTGTCTTGACTCTGGTAAATGCATTACTACTCAGTTCATATGAATAGCAGCAGCCTAGAGCAATTACTTCCTTTTTTCCCCGCCATGTTATTATGAAAATATTAAAATGTCCAAAGTTGAAATTCTTGTACAGAGTCAAAGTTGAATGCTCAGATGCCAATCATCTAGACTTTTCTTTCTTCCTTTCCTTCCTCCCTTCCTCCCTCCCTCTCCTTCCTCCCTTCCTCCCTCCCTCTCCTTCCTCCCTTCCTCCCTCCCTCTCCTTCCTCCCTTCCTCCCTCCCTCTCCTTCCTTCCTTCCTCCCTCCCTTTCCTTCCTTCCTTCCTTCTTTCTTTTCTTTTTTCTTTCTTCTTTCCTTCCTTCCTTTTCTTTCTTTCTTTTGACAGACTCTCGCTCTGTCACCCAGGATAAAGTGCAGTGGCATGATCAGGTTCAAGCGATTCTCCTGCCTCAGGCTCCCAAGTAGCTGGGATCACAGGCATGCACCACCATGCCCGGCTAATGTAGAGATAGGGTTTCACCATGCTGTCTAGGCTGGGCTGAAACTCCTGACCTCAAGCAATCTGCCCGCCTCAGCCTCCCAAAGTGCTGGGATTACAGGCACCAATCACCTAGATTCTAAATACTGTATTCTTCTTGATTGCTCACACACTGACCCATCTGTTCATCCCTCTGTCCACTCCACAATCCTTCTTATTTTCTATGCCCTTCAAAGTTCCAGACATCAGTACATTTCACCCAAAAAACTTCACCATGTCCTTCACTAGAATACAATATTTTCTCACTTCTTTTGGCTTATTTTGGAGATGAAATTAATGTATAATAAAAATCACAAATCTTAACTGTGTAGTTCACCTTTGGCAAATGTGTAACTGAATTGTCCATCAAGATATGGACTATTAAGAGAATGGAACAAAAAAAGAAAAAAAAAGATAGGACTATTTTTATCACCTGAGAAAATTCCCTCATGTGCCTTCCCAAACAATCCCCAACCTACCCGTAGAGATAATCACAGTTGACTTTTTTTTTTCCAGCATAGGTTAGTTTTGCCTGTTCAAGAACTTCAGGGCTGAGTGCAGTGGCTCATGCCTATAACCCCAGGACTTTGGGAGGCCTAAGTGGGTGGATCACTTGAGGTCAGGGGTTCAAGACCAGCCTGGCCCCATCTCTACTAAAAGTACAAAAATTAGCTAGGTGTGGTGGCATGTGCCTTTAATTCCACCTACTCGGGAGGCTGAGGCAGGAGAATCACTTGAACCCAGGAGGCAGAGGTTGTAGTGAGCCAAGACTGTGCCACTGCACTCCAGCCTGGGTGACAGAGTGAGACTCTGTCTCAAAAAATATATATACTGTATATATATTTTGTGTATGTATGTATATATATATATATACACACACACACACACACATACATATATACACACCTATATAGACATGTATATATACACAACATGTATGCATATGTGGACACATACATATATATGCACACATGTACATACATATATACACAACATATATATATAAAACATTTTTTTTTTTGAGACAGAGTCTTGCTATGTGGCACGATCTTGGCTCACTACAACCTCCACCTCCCAGGTTCAAGCAAATCTCTGCCTCAGCCTCCTGAGTAGCTGGGATTACAGGCACCCGCCACCACGCCTGGCTAATTTTGTTTTTTTAAGTAGAGACAGGGTTTCACCATCTTGGCCAGGCGGGTCCTGAATTCCACCCAGGCTGGAGTGCCATGGCGTGGTCTCGGCTCACTGTAACCTCAGCCTCCCAGGTTTAAGTGAGTCTCTCGCCTCAGCCCTCCCAAGTAGCTGGGACTACAGCTGCCTGCCACCATGCCTGGCTAATTTTTGTATTTTTAGTAGAGACGGGGTTTCACCATGTTGGCCAGGCTGGTCTCAAACTCCTGACCTCGTGATCCACCCACCTCAACCTCCCAAAGTGCTGGGATTACAGGTGTGAGCCACTGCGCCCAGCCTTACTTTTTATTTTTCTGTCAGATCCTCACAGAGGTCAGTGACTTGACAAAGGTGTAGAGCTACTAGCAGAATCATGGTAGGATACTCAGAAGACATTGCTAGGAGAGGAGTTAATGAAATAGTGACTTCAGCATGGTCTTTTTTTTAAAGTGTAAATATATCTAAAGGTAGAAAAAACTCAACAGGATCTATACATTTGTATGTGTGTGCCTACAGGGTGCTTTTCCTTTTCTCATTTTTGCTCATGTGCATTTTCTGTTTTCTGTAATGAATGAATATTATTTATGTCATTTAAAAATGGAGATTGGCCAGGCATGGTAGCTCATGCCTGTGATCCCAGCACTTTGGGAGGCTGAGGCAGGAGGATTATTTGAGCCCAGAAATTTGAGGCCAGCCTGAGCAACATAGGGAGACCCCATCTCTACAAAAAAAAAAAAAAAAAAATAGCTGGGTGTGGTGGCGCATGTCTGTGGTCCCTGCTACTTGAGAGGCTGAGGCAGGAAGATGGCTTGAGCCTAGGAGGTCGAGGCTGCAGTAAGCTATGATGCTGCTACCACACTCCAGGTTGGGCAACAGAGGAAAACTGTCTTAAAAAAATACATATGTAAAAAAGCAGAAAAATAAAAATGGAGATCATGGACTTAGGGGAGAGACAGATTTGAGCAGCCATCCTGGGCTGAGAGCCCTGAGCATGGGGCCGTGGCCTGTCTCCATCACTGCGGTGTCTAAAGCAGCAGCTGGCACAGAGCAGGCCACACCATGGGACTCACAGAGGCTTTGTCTTCCCTCTGGGCCATTGCTCATGCTGTCCCCTCTTCTGTTGCTCCTTTTTTCATATTCCATCCTTTTGACTCAGACTTTCTCCTCTTCAAGTCTCAGCTCTGGCACAGCTCGGAGAATGTGTAAGGAAAGAGTAACAAAGAGATGCCCAGGCTGGGTGCGGTGGCTCACGCCTGTAATCCCAGCACTTTGGGGGGCCAAGGTGGGAGGATTGGTTGAGCCAGGCGTTCCAGACCAGCCTAGATAACATAGTGACACCCCATCTCTAATTAAAATTTTTTTATTAATTAAAAAAAAAAGAGGCTGGGCATGGTGACTCATGCCTGTAATCCCAGCACTTTGGGAGGCTGAGGTGGGCAGATCACTTGAGGTCAGGAGTTAGAGACCAGCCTGGCCAACATGGTGAAACCCCGTTTCTACTAAAAATACAAAAATTAGCTGGGCATGGTGACATGCACCTGTAATCCCAGATGGGAGAATCACTTGAACCTGTGAGGCAGAGGTTGTAGTGAGCTGAGATCATGCCACTGCACTCCAGCCTTGGTGACAGAGCAAGATTCCATCTCAAAAAAAAAAAAAAAAAAAAAAAAGAAAAGAAAAGAAAAAAGAGATGCCGTGGGGCAAAAAGAGACACAGATCTTTTCTCCTGGTTCTTAGACTTCAGGCTGCTATAATACCAGAGCCCGGGAGGCTTACCAACAACACAACCTTGTCTCTCACAGTTCTGGAGGCTGGAAGTCCAAGATGAGGGCACCAGCACCACCAGGTTCAGGTGAGGGCCCTCTTCCAGGTTGCAGATGGATTACTCCTTGTGTCCTCACACAGTGGAAAGACGACTTAAGAGTTCTCTGAGGCCTGTGTCATAAGGGCGCTAATCCCATTCATGAGGGTGCCGTCCTCCTGACCTAATCACCTCCCAAAGGCCTCCCCCCACTCTTAATACGATCATGTTGGAGGTTAAGATTTCAACATGTGGGCTTTGCAGGAGACACCAAGCCAGATGGACTGGCCAGGATCTCTGTCCACTCAGGGCATTTACATCAGAATATCCTACTCCCTCCCGGTTTTCCTGGCTCTCTCTCTCTTACTGGTCCTTTAAGGCTCAGCACAACTGTTCTTTCCTCTGGGAAGCCTTCCCTGACCAGCAACGTTAGATCTGGCTGTTTTCCTAGGTTTTCACAGCCTCCTATCTCCCCACCATCCCAGCTCTGAACCCTCAGCCTGTGCCTCCCCTATCCCATCCTTCACCCCTCTGCCTGGCCTTTCTGATCCTGGCCTTGACTCTTTTGCCTGTGCTTTTCTCATCTTAGCCCTGACCCCTGTGAACTCTCACTGTCTGGTGATGGTCTGTTTATCTGAATGGACTGGGAGCCCTGTGAGGGTAGCACCTGGGGCTGTGTTGGTCACCTTCGTATTCTCAGGATCTCCCAGCCCACGGCCAGGCACAGAGTGCATGCTCGGTGAATGTGATTAGATGCAGCAGTGACTTAATTCAGCTATTGAGTGTCTGTGATTCTGCCAGGCCCTGTTCTATACACTGGGAATAAAGCAGCAATCAAAGCAGACCCAAACCTCTGACTCTGTGGAGCTGCCATTCTGATGGAGTAGGACAGATGATAAACACAGTCAATTCGTGAATTATGTTTTAGAAGGGTAGACACTATAGGAAACAAGGAAAGCAGGGAGGGAGGATAAGGAGTAGGGAGAAGCTGACTTTTTTTTTTTTTTTTTTTGAGATAGAGTCTTAGTCTCTTTGGCGCGATCCTGGCTCACTGCAGCCTCCACCTCCTGGGTTCAAGCAATTCTTCTGCCTCAGCCACCTGAATAGCTGGGATTACAGGTGTGTACCACCGCACCCAGCTAATTTTTGTATTTTTAGTAGAGACAGCGTTTCACCATTGGTCTCAGACTCCTGACATCGAGTGATCCACCCACCTCAGCCTTCCAAAGGGCTGGAACTACAAGCGTGAGCCACAGTGCCTAGCCCAAGGCTGCCATTTAAAGTTGGTTGTTGGCTAGGTCCCGTGGGTCGTGCCTATAATCCCAGCACTTTGGGAGGCTGAGACAGGTGGATCACGAGGTCAAGAGTTCAAGACCAGCCTAGCCAAGATTGTGAAACCCTGTCTCTACTGAAAATACAAAAATTTGCCAGGCATGGTGGCAGGCGCTTGTAATCCCAGCTACTCAGGAGGCTGAGGCAGAGAATTGCTTAAATCCAGGAGGCGGAAGTTGCGGTGAGCAGAGATCACACCACTGCACTCCAGCTGGATGAGAGATCAAGATTCCGTCTCAAAATAAATAAATAATAAAAAAATTAAAAATTAAAATTAAATAGGGTGGTCAGGTAAAGCTTGAATCAGTGACATTTGAGCAAATACTTTATAGGAGGTACAGAAGTGAGTCACATGTACATCTCCAGAAAGAACATCTCAGGCCACAGATACTGCAAGAGGCAAGGTCTCTGATGGTGGCAGTAACAGAAAGAATGAGTCCCAGTGCCGCCAGAACAGGGGAGCAGGCGGGAGGCCCAGAAATGAGGGCTGGAGGCCAGATGGCACAGGGGCCTGACCACCCCCCTCACCTGCTCTGCAGATCGACAGCCAACGCTCACGCCTGCCAGTCTCCCTGAGCGAAGGTCGCCTGCGTGTGTACCAGAGCGGGCCACGGGCTGTGGTGGAACTGGTCTTCGGGCTGGTGGTCACTTATGACTGGGACTGCCAGCTGGCACTCAGCCTGCCCACACGCTTCCAAGACCAGGTGTGCGGGCTGTGTGGAAACTATAATGGTGACCCAGCAGACGACTTCCTCACGCCTGATGGGGATCAGGTTCCTGACCCTGTGGAGTTCGCAAGTAGCTGGAAGCTGGATGATGGGGACTACTTGTGTGAGGATGGCTGTCAGAACAACTGTCCCGCCTGCACCCCAGGCCAGGCCCAGCACTATGAGGGCGACCGACTCTGCGGCATGCTGACCAAACTTGACGGCCCCTTCGCTGTCTGCCATGACACCCTGGACCCCAGGCCCTTCCTGGAACAGTGTGTATACGACCTGTGCGTGGTTGGTGGGGATCGGCCCAGCCTGTGCCGTGGCCTCAGCGCCTATGCTCAGGCCTGTCTGGAGCTTGGCATCTCAGTTGGGGACTGGAGGTCACCAGCCAACTGCCGTGAGTGATGCCCTGGGTGGGGGTTGGGAGCATACGGTGAGGGGCAGGAGACCCTTGCATCTACTTAATATCTGAGAAGTTACTGTGGTTCAGCCTGGTGCTGGGCAATGCCAGGGGCCCAGTGATGGCCAAGATGGCCAGCTCTGTCCACAATGAGCCTAAGGTTGGAGCAGATGTTTCACCAGAAAGTAACAGTCTGGACGGTTCCAGGCAGGATGGGGAGGCCCATGCGGAGGGGTTGGGGCCAGGATGGGGGAGGAATAGGCAGATGAGTTAGGGCTGGGATTGTGGGAGGTACAGGCATAGGGGTATGGGCCAGGATGGAGGAAGTCATTGGGGCTTTGGGAAACAAGAGAAGGCTTCTGGGAAGCAGGGGTGAGCAGGGAGAGTTTTCTAGAGAAAGGGATGTTTAATTTGAAACCCACAGGAGGGGCTGGAAGTTGCCAAGAGAAAGAGGAGGAAGTGAGATGCAGGCCCAGAGAGCAGCACACTCAAAGGCTTGGCATGACAGGAATTCCTGTCTGCAGAATCCCAACACAGACAAGCAGACGTTTCTTCCTTTGCCTGTAACCCTCCCATGACTCCCATTGCCCTCTAGATAAAGTCCAGGCTCTGTAGCCAGATGTCCATATGCTTAATCATTCACTCATTCATTCCCCAAGCATTTCTTGAACCCCTGCCTGCCCGCCGTGCATGCTGATGATATTGAAGACACAGTGAGGATCGGCATAGATTTGTTCCTGCCCTTGTTAGTGAGGCTCCTAGAGACATGTCCCAGAGGCAGAAAGGATAGGCAGAAGGGAGGAGGAGGCATTCAGGCCCAGCCCCAGGCCCAAGGGAGGGGGAGTAAGTATGAGGGAGACATAGAGGCCACTGGGCGTTTGTCTTGGCCAGTGCTCTGTCCCTACTGCCCAGTAAGCCCCCCATCCCCACCCCATGGCTGGCATGAAATGGGAACCAGAGAGTTCATTCTTCCTCCCATTCATTCCCGCAGTATTTCCTGAGCACCTGCTGTGCTCCAGGCCCTGTCCTTGGTGCTGAGGACTCAGCAGTGATTGAGACAGACCAGGTCCCCACTCCTGTAGAACTTTTCTCCTAGTGGGAGGGGAGGGACACAGACAGTGAGCAGATAAACTAGAAATTATCTTCAGAGAGCCAAAGAAACAAGTTCATGCAGTGACAGTGACTGGGAGGCTCGTGAAAAGGATAATCAGGGAATGCCTTTCTGGGCAGGTGACACTGGAGCTGAGACCAGGGTCAGGCAACAGAGTTAACTAAGTACTAACAGTAATGTCCACAGAATGTTTCTCCAGAGATCAACTCATTTAATCCCCACAACAACCTTGTGATGTCTGGCCTACATTAGCCCATCTTGCTGATGGGGAAACTGAGGCATGGGGAGCTCGGAGTCAGTGGTTGAGAAGGAGCGATCTGGGTTTTGAACCCAGGCCACCTGGGCCCCAGTGGGCTTTCTGAGGAAAGGGAAGGCAGAGGAAACAGCCAATACAAAGGCCCTGCAGTTGGAGCAGGACAACCAGGGAGGAGGAGGCAGCTGGGGCCGGGGCAGAGTGAGCACGAGGGAGAGGGAGAGGGGGTGAGGGCAGAGAGGTGAGAGGAGCAGATGGCACAGGGCCTCCTGGAGCATGAGGAGGACTGTAGTGTTTACTCTGAGTGAGAGGAAGCCACAGGAGGGCTCTGAGATAGGGAGGGACCTGATCTGACCCAGATGTTCCCAGATCCCTCTGGCTGGTGTGAGGAACAGGCTGTAGGGGCAGGAGGTAGCCCAGGCAGGAGGCTGCTGGAGTGCATAGGACCAGAGGCAGATTCTGTAGCTGGGTGGAATTTTTTTTTTTTTTCTTTTTTTTTGAGACAGAGCCTTGCTCTGTTGCCCAGGCTGTGATGATATAGGCTCAATGCAACCTCTGCCTTCCAGGTTCAAGTAATTCTCCTGCCTCAGCCTCCCAGGTAGCCAGGATTACAGGCATGCTCCACCACGCCTGATCAGTCTGGGTAGATTTTGAATATGGCGCTCACAGGACTTGCTGACAGATGGGCTGTCCAGTGAGCTTTAGGGGGCTGGCGGGGTGGAGATTAACTGCAATTCCGGGATGGGGCGCAGAAGCACCCAGAGGGATGGAAGTGCCATTATCTGAGATGGCGAGCTCTGAGAGAAGAGCACGGTTGTGGGGGTGGGGATTCCTGGCCGCTGTTGCGGACAGTGGGCCCCTCGACGGCCCCTGCTGCACCTGTCTGACCCACCGTCTCTAATCTCCCCGCAGCCTTGACTTGCCCCGCCAACAGCCGCTACGAGCTCTGCGGCCCCGCCTGTCCGGCCTCCTGCAACGGGGCTGCGGCGCCATCCAACTGCTCTGGGCGCCCGTGCGTGGAGGGCTGCGTGTGCCTCCCGGGCTTCGTGGCCAGCGGCGGCGCCTGTGTGCCAGCCTCGTCGTGCGGCTGCACCTTCCAGGGCCTCCTGCTCGCTCCAGGCCAGGAGGTGTGGGCGGACGAGCTGTGCCAAAGGCGCTGCACCTGCACCACCACCCAGCAGGTGACCTGCCGCGACACGAAGGGCTGCCCGGCGGGTGAGCGCTGCAGCGTCCAGAATGGCCTCCTGGGCTGCTACCCCGACCGCTTCGGGACCTGCCAGGGGTCCGGGGACCCACACTACGTGAGCTTCGACGGCCGGCGCTTCGACTTTATGGGCACCTGCACGTACCTGCTGGTCGGCTCGTGCGGCCAGAACGCGGCGCTGCCAGCCTTCCAGGTGCTGGTGGAAAACGAGCATCGGGGCAGCCAGACCGTGAGCTACACGCGTGCCGTGCGGGTGGAGGCCCGCGGGGTGAAGGTGGCGGTGCGCCGGGAGTACCCGGGGCAAGTGCTGGTGAGCGACGCGGGTGCCCAGGGCTGGGTGTCGGGGCAGGAAACACCCTCTGAAGACTTGGAGCTCCGAGTGGGGCTGGGGGTGGGAAAGTCTGTTAGAAGATTTAATTTTTTTTTCTTTTTTCTTTTTCCTTCTTGTGGAGAATAGGATCTCACTACATTGCCCAGGCTGGTCTCTAACTCCTGGGTGCAAGCCACCCTCCGGCCTCAGCTTCCCAAAGTGCTAGGAAGTGAGCTATCATCACATCACTGCACTCTGGCCTGGGTGACAGAGTGAGACCCAGTCTCTATTTTAAAAAGGAAGCCAGAGGCAGGGCACAGTGGCTCACGCCTGTAATGCCAGCACTTTGGGAGGCTGAAGTGGGTGGATCACCTGAGGTCAGGAGTTTGAGACCAGCCTAGCCAACATGGTGAAACCCCCTCTCTACTAAAAATACAGAAAAAAAAATTACCCAGGTGCAGTGGCTCATGCCTGTAATAATCCCAGCTACTCCAAAGGCTGAGGCAGGAGAATAGCTTGAACCCCAGAGGCAGAGGTTGCAGTGAGCCGATATTGTGCCTCTGCACTCCAGCCTGAGTGGCAGAGTGAGACCCTGTCAAAAATAATATACATAAATAAGTAAATAAATAAATAAATAAAAGGAAGCTAGCATGCAGCAGCCTGAGTGAGAGGGACAATGAGAAGAGGTGAGGCAAGGGAGGTAATGGGGAGATAGACAGATCACGTATGTTTTGAAGGCCATTGGTGAGGAACTTGGATTCTTTTTTTTTTTTTTTGAGACGGAGTTTTGCTCTTGTTACCCAGGCTGGAGTGCAATGGCGCGATCTCGGCTCACCGCAACCTCCGCCTCCTGGGTTCAGGCCATTCTCCTGCCTCAGCCTCCTGAGTAGCTGGGATTACAGGCACGCGCCACCATGCCCAGCTAATTTTTTGTATTTTTAGTAGCGACGGGGTTTCACCATGTTGACCAAGATGGTCTCGATCTGTTGACCTCATGATCCACCCGCCTCGGCCTCCCAAAGTGCTGGGATTACAGGAGGAACTTGGATTTAAGCTGGTGCTTTAGGAATGAAGAGGGTTGAATGGTGAGCCAGGCAGAGGGAACAGGAAGTGCAAAGGCCTTGAGGTGGGACTGAGCATAATGTGTCCAAGAAAATAGCTGGAGGTGAGTGAATTGGAGGATGGGCCAGCGAGCCGTAAATACCCTGACCACATGGCCCTCTTGCATCTTCACCCAGGTGGACGGCGTCCTTCAGTATCTGCCCTTCCAAGCAGCAGATGGGCAGGTGCAGGTGTTCCGCCAGGGTAGTGATGCTGTCGTGCGCACTGACTTTGGCCTGACTGTCACCTACAACTGGGATGCACGAGTGACTGCCAAGGTGCCCAGCAGCTATGCTGAGGCCCTGTGTGGACTCTGCGGGAACTTCAACGGGGACCCAGCTGATGACCTGGCTCTGCGGGGTGGGGGCCAAGCTGCCAATGCACTGGCTTTTGGGAACAGCTGGCAAGAAGAAACGAGGCCTGGCTGTGGAGCAACTGAACCAGGTGACTGTCCCAAGCTGGACTCCCTGGTGACCCAGCAGCTGCAGAGCAAGAAAGAGTGTGGAATCCTTGCTGACCCCGAGGGGCCCTTCCGGGAGTGCCACAGCAAGCTGGACCCCCAGGGTGCCGTGCGTGACTGTGTCTATGACCGCTGCCTGCTGCCAGGCCAGTCTGGGCCACTGTGTGACGCGTTGGCCACTTACGCTGCTGCATGCCAGGCTGCTGGAGCCACAGTGCACCCCTGGAGGAGTGAGGAACTTTGCCGTGAGTATCGCAAATGGCAACTGGGGGACTCAACCTTATATATATATTCATTAATGTATAAATATAATTAATTCATTTAATCCTTTTTTTTTTGTTGAGACAGAGTTTCACTCTTTTTGCTCTTGTTACCCAGGCTGAGTGCGATGGCGCAATCTCAGCTCACCGCAACCTCTGCCTCCTGGGTTCAGGCAATTCTCCTGCCTCAACCTCCTGAGTAGCTGGGATTTTAGGCTCAAACCACCATGCCCGGCTAATTTTGTATTTTTTTTTAGTAGAGATGGAGTTTGAGATTGGTCAGGCTGGTCTCGAACTCCTGACCTCAGGTGATTCACCCACCTCCGCCTTCCAAAGTGCTGGAATTACAGGCGTGAGCCACCTCGCCCAGCCCTTTTAATCGTTACAACAGCCCTGTGAGGTAGGGATTGCTGCCTAGTCTGGTCTCCAACTCCTGGGCTCAATCCACCCTCTCGCCTCAGCTTCCCAAAGTGCTAGGAAGTGAGCTATGATCATCACTTTTGATGTAGGTTTTGTGTTATACCTAACTTAACAGATGAAGAAACTGAGGTTCAGAAAGGTTCAGTTACATGCCTGGGATCATGATAGCTAGAAAGTCACAGACGGTGGGCATGCAGTTGGTATTTGAAAAATGGCAGTACACCTGGTGACCCAGGATCTCATTCCCATGTAGCAGCTGTCATTGAGATATGAGCAGCAGTATCATCGTTAGGAGTCTCATCCCCTTTCTGGTTCTTTTTGGTCTCTATCTATCCTACTTCACTTATTTACATCTGCCTGACCCCTTGGGCAGTCCGTTTGGGAGCCTTGTCTTAGTGGAGGCTGCATGAATGGTCTTCCAATGTTTTTGCTTGCCTAGAAAAGAAGTTTGAAAAGCCATTCATCCTCTCACCTGATTTTTTTTTTTTTTTTTGAGATGGAGTTTTGCTCTTGTTACCCAGGCTGGAGTGCAATGGTGTGTTCTCAGCTCGCTGCAACCTCTGCCTCCTGGGTTCAAGCAATTCTCCTGCCTCAGCCTCCTGAGTAGCTGAGATTACAGGCATGCACTGCCATGCCCAGCTAATTTTGTATTTTTAGTAGAGATGGGGTTTCTTTATGTTGGTCAGGCTGGTCTCGAACTCCTGATGTCATGATCCGCCCACCTCAGCCTCCCAAAGTGCGCCATCTGATTTTCTTTTAAGATGGGATCTTGCTCTGTTGCCCAGGCTGGGATGCAGTGGTGCAATCATAGCTCACTGCAGCCTGGGACTCCTGGGCTCAAGTGATCCTCCTGCCTCAGCCTCCTGAGTAGCACCAACCTCAACTAATTTTTAAAATATTTTTTACAGAGACAAGATTTTGATTTTTTTTGCTTAGGCTGGGCTCGAACTCTTGGGCTCAAGCAATCCTCCTGCCTCAGCCTCTCAGAGTACTGGGATTACAGGCATGAGCCACTGTACCACGTTCCTCTTACCTGATTTTTAATTTTTAAAATTTATTATTGAAATATACAGATATTCAAAAATATGTACATATCATAAGCTAACAGCTTGATCAGTTTTTACCAAGAGAACAAATCTGTGTGAACAGCCCCAAATTCAAAAAAAACGTCCAGGCCCCCAACCCCAAGAGGTAACCACGATTCTGGCTTCTGAAGTCTTTAAATGTTGGAATTAATGGAAGTATACACATCTAGTTTTTTACCTGAAATAATTACAAAACTTATAATTTCTAACAAATGGTAACTTTTGACTTTTAAGAACTTTTCTTTTTGGGATGAAGCCTTGCTCTGTCGTTCAGGCTTACTTGGCTTACTGCAACTTCCACCTCCACCTCCACCTCCCAGGCTCAAACGATTCTCCTGACTCAGCCTACAGAGTAGCTGGGACTACAGGCGCCCGCCACTCCACCTGGCTAATTTTTTTGTATTTTTAGTAGAGAAGGGGTTTCACTATGTTGGCCAGGCTGGTTTCCAATTCCTGACCGCAAGCGATCCGCCCACCTCAGCCTCCCAAAGTGCTGGGATAACAGGCATGAGCCACCATGCCTGGCCAAGTATTTATTCTTTCTCATGATGCCAGGGGCTGCTGAGGTGTTCTCCCCAGCCTGGGCCAGCTTGGTTGGTGTCTGCAGTCTGTTGGAAGCTCAGCTGAGACTGGGTAAATCTAGGGTGCTTTTACACATCTGGCAGTTGTCCAGCTGGCTGGTTTTGGGGGCCCTCAGCTGGGACTTGTTGTCTCTGCTCCACTTGGTCTCATCTTCCAGCGGGTGAACCCAGGCTTCTTCGCAAGGTGCTCTCAAGATTCCTAAGAGCAACAAAAGCACACAAGCCCCAGTGTGCAAGCACTTTCCAAGGCTCTGCTCGGCATCATGGTTGCCAGTGTTCCATTGGCCAAAGCAAGTACTATGGTTGTGCCCAGAGTCGACACATGACCATTGGCAGCCTGTGCCCATCACACTTCTCTGCCGCAAACAGACACATACATGACTAAGATTTCAGAATATTTACAATCCTAGCTACTCAGGAGGCTGAGGTGGGAGGATCCCTAGAGGCTGAGAGTTAGATACCAGCCTGGGCAACATAGCAAGAGCCTATTTCTGATAAACAGTGCAGGCTGAGTGTGCTGGCTCACACCTGTAATCCCAGCACTTCAGGAGGGTGAGGGAAAGGGATCATCAGAGGCCAGTAGTTTGAGACCAGCCTGGCCAACATGGCAAAACTTCATCTATACTGAAAAGTAGTCAGGTGTGGTGGCGGGTACCTGTATTCCCAGCTACTTGGGAGGATGAAGTGGAAGAATCATTTGAACCTGGGAGGTGGAGGTTGCAGCCAGCCGAGATCGTGCCACTGCACTTCAGCCTGGGTGACAGAGTAAGACTCTGTCTCAAAAAAATAAATAAATAAATAAATAAAAAACAGTGCAATCCCCACCCATCCTGAATCCTAACACAAGGTGTGTTGCCCCAGGGTGTGAAACCTCCTGGGACAAAACAGACTTCTTATAAAAGATAGAAGAAGTTTTAGAAATTCCTGACACTGTAAAACCCTAAGTGGCTCTAGAAGCAAACCAAATACACATACTGCATTGGATTGATCTACCTTCATGCTTTTACTCCGTCAGAATTTCTTTATTTCCTCCCAACATAGTATTATGAAAATTGTGAAATATACAAAAAAGTTGAAAGAATTTTACAGGGAAGACACACAGACCCACCTCCTGGACTCTATACTCTAATTTTTTTTTTTTTTTTTGAGACAGAGTCTCACTCTGTTGCCCAAGCTGGAGTGCAGTGGCATGGTCTCAACTCACTGCAACCTCGCCTCCTGGGTTCAAGTGATTCTCCCGCCTCAGCCTCTCATATAGTTGGGATTAAAGGCGTGTGCCACCACACCTGGCTAATTTTTGTATTTTTACAGAGAAACGGGTTTCACCATGTTGGCCAGGCTGGTCTCGAACTCCTGACCTCAAGTGATCCTCCCACCTCATCTTCGCAAAATGTTGGGATTGTGGATATGAGCCACTGAGCCAGGCCTCTACACTCTAATTCTAATTCACTTACTTGCTTTATCACATATCTATCCCTCCATCCATCTTTTCCTTTTGTTTATGTCATTTATTTATTTATTGGAAAAGACAGGTCATTTATCCTGCAGGAGTTCCTACTTTCATGATCTGGCTAGTTGCTTCTTTGGAGTGTTACTGAACTTGTCTCTATGTCCCCAAGATTCTCCTGTAAGCTGGATGTTAGCTTCAGAATGGCACCACCCAGCAGAACTTCAGTGATGACGGCTCCGTATCTGAGCTGTTCAAATAGGTACCAAGTTGCCACAGGTCACAGGTGGCTGCTGAGCACTTGAAATGAGGCTGTTTTGACTGAGGAGCTGTCCATTTTGTTTCATTTTAATTAACTTACATCTAAATGGTCACAAGTGGCTAGTGGCTTATTAGACGGCATAGATACAGGTTTAATGTGGTTCAGTTTAAGTCACGTAGATAATGCTGTTTTTTTGAGACAGAGTCTTGCTCTGTCGCCAAGCTGGAGTGCAGTGGCATGATCTCAGCTCACTGCAACCTCCACCTCCCAGGTTCAAGCAATTCTCCTACCTCAGCCCGGCTAGTAGCTGGGATTACAGGTACCCGCCACCCTACCAGGCTAATGTTCATATTTTTAGTAGGGACAGGGTTTCACTGTGTTGGCCAGGCTGGTCTGGAGCCACTGCACCTGGCTAGATTTGCTTTTTATAAACTGGAGTGACTGGAGTTTGGGGAGCGGAGCAAGGAGTTGGTTTTTTTTTTAAACACTCGCTAAATATTTTAATTTAATTACTGCTATAGAAGGAAGAAGTTAAAAGTATTGCATTTACAAATACACTGCACAAATTATACACATACACACAAATATACTGCACAAATTATACACACACACAAATATACTGCACAAATTATACACACACACGAATATACTGCACAAATTATACACACACATGAATATATGGCACAAATTATACACATACACGAATATACTGCACAAATTATACACACACACGAATATATGGCACAAATTATACACACACATGAATATACTGCACAAATTATACACACACACGAATATATGGCACAAATTATACACACACACGAATATACTGCACAAATTATACACATACACACGAATATACTGCACAAATTATACACACACACATACTGCACAAATTATACACACACAAATATACTGCACAAATTATACACACACACATGAATATACTGCACAAATTATACACACACACAAATATACTGCACAAATTATACACACACACAAATGTACTGCACAAATTATACACACACACGAATATACTGCACAAATTATACACACACACGAATATACTGCACAAATTATACACACACATGAATATACTGCACAAATTATACACATACACACGAATATACTGCACAAATTATACACATACACACAAATATATTGCACAAATTATACACATACACATGAATATACTGCACAAATTATACACACACACGAATATGCTGCACAAATTATACACACACGAATATGCTGCACAAATTATACACACCCACACAAATATACTGCACAAATTATACACGAATATACTACACAAATACACACACGCACAAATATACTGCACAAATTATACACACACACGAATATACTGCACAAATTATACACACACACAAATATACTGCACAAATTATACACACACACAAATATACTACACAAATTATACACACACGAATATACTACACAAATACACACACGCACAAATATACTGCACAAATTATACACACACACAAATATACGGCACAAATTATACACACACACATGAATATACTGCACAAATTATACACACACACACACACAAATATACTGCACAAATTATACACACACGAATATACTACACAAATACACACACGCACAAATATACTGCACAAATTATGCACACACACGAATATACGGCACAAATTATACACACACACATGAATATACTGCACAAATTATACACATACACACGAATATACTGCACAAATTATACACACATGCACAAATATACTGCACAAATTATACATACACACATGAATATACTGCACAAATTATACACACACACATGAATATACTGCACAAATTATACACATGAATATACTGCACAAATTATACACACACACATATGAATATACTGCACAAATTATAAACACATGCACAAATATACTGCACAAATTATACACACAAATATACTGCACAAATTATACACACACACACGAATATACTGCACAAATTATACACACACACATGAATATACTGCACAAATTATACACACATGCACAAATATACTGCACAAATTATACACACATGCACAAATATACTGCACAAATTATACACACATGCACAAATATACTGCAGAAATTATACACATACACACAAATATATGCATATGCATGTTTAAAATATATACCACAGATCAACAACCTGTATGCAACTTGAACAAGGTCATTAAGGACATACTAGAAGCCCGGGAGTGGCTGCTCATTCCTGTAATCCCAGCACTTTGAGAGGCTGAGGCAGGGGGACTGCTTGAGCCCAGGAGTTTGAGGCCAGCCTAGAGAACACAGCGAAACCCCATATCTACAAAAAATTAAAAAAATTAGCCGGGTGCGGTGGTACACACCTGTAGTCCCAGCTACTCAGGAGGCTGAGGTGGGAGGACTGCTCAAGTCCAGGAGGTCAAAACTGCAGTGAGCCACGACAACAAGCATCGCAGTGCTGCTTCCAGCCTAACAGAGCAAACCCCATTTCAAAGAAAAAGAGAAGCATAATAGATAACTTCAAATCACAGTTAAATTGGGAGAATCGTAATTATGAGGATCAGATTAACTGTGATGTAATGTGTTCCCAAGCTCCCTGCAATGGGGCTGCTTGTGTGTGTGTTTGAGCATGCGTGTGTATGCATACGTATGTGTTGGGGGGTCACGGTGTCCCCTGGGAGCAGGAATTATTGATCTTGATGTCTCTTCTCCCTGCAGCACCGAGCTGCCCACCCCACAGCCACTATGAGGCGTGTTCCTACGGCTGCCCGCTGTCCTGTGGAGACCTCCCAGTGCCCGGGGGCTGTGGCTCCGAATGCCATGAGGACTGCGTGTGCAATGAGGGCTTTGCACTCAGTGGTGAGTCCTGCGTGCCCCTGGCCTCCTGTGGCTGTGTCCACCAGGGCACCTACTACCCGCCAGGCCAGACCTTCTACCCAGGCCCTGGCTGTAATTCCATTTGCCACTGCCAGGAGGGCGGCCTGGTGTCCTGTGAGCCTTCCACCTGTGGCCCACATGAGGCCTGCCAGCCGTCTGGTGGCAGCTTGGGCTGTGTGGCCGTGGGCTCTGCCACCTGCCAGGCGTCAGGAGACCCCCACTACACCACCTTCGACGGCCGCCACTTCGACTTCATGGGCACCTGCGTGTATGTGCTGGCTCAGACCTGCAACGCCACCCGGCCTGGGCTGCACTCGTTTGCCGTCCTGCAGGAGAATGTGGCCTGGGGTAATGGGCAAGTCAGTGTGACCAGGGTGATCACGGTCCAGGTGGCAAACTTCACCCTGCGGCTGGAGCAGAGACAGTGGAAGGTCACGGTGAGAGCAACGGGGAGCAGGGCTGAGGGGCCTGTGGCTGGGTGGGTGGGGCACGGGGAGCACTCAACCCAGGAGTTGGGAGCACATAGATGAGAGCGCATGTGGGAGGCCTGGGGTCCCTGAGGACAGAAGATGCCAATCAGAGCCCAGAGCAGGAAGCCAAGGAGGGAAGTGTCATCAAGGACTTGGGACCTGCTCCCCCATCTCTGTCCCTTAGTCTCCACCCTCTCTTTAAGGTGTCGGCAGGGCTGCACCCCCTCCAAAGGCACTGGTTGGGGGGAATCTCCCTTTCCCTTTCCAGCTCTGGAGGCTCCAGGTTCTCTGGGCTTGTGACAACATCATTCTTTTGTTTTTGAGACGGAGTCTCACTCTGTCACCAGGCTGGAGGTCAGTGGCCTGATCTCAGCTCACTGCAACCTCTGCCTCCTGGGTTCAAGCGATTCTCCTGCCCCAGCCTCCCCAGTAGCTGTGATTATAGGCACCTGTCACCATGCCCGGCTAGTTTAGGTATTTTTAGTAGAGACGGGATTTCACCATGTTGGCCAGGATGATCTCAATCTTTTGACCTCGTGATCTGCCCACCTTGGCCTCCCAAAGTGCTGGGATTGCAGGTATGAGCCACCGCACCTGGCCTGTGACAACACCATTCTACTTCCTGCCTTCATTTTCACATGGCCCTTTCTGTGTCTCTGAGTCTTTTTCTTTCTGGCTCTTACAAGGACATTGTCATTGGATTTAGGACCCACCTTAATCGGTGATAATCTCATATTGAGATGATTACCCTGATTACAGCTGCAAAGAACTTTATTCCAAGTAAGCTCAGTAGGATTCTAGGTGAATATGACTTGTGGGGGCCACCATTCAATCCACCATAAGACCCTTTTATTACACCAATTTTACAAATACGGAAATTGAGGGCCCTAAGGGGCCTCAAATCTTAAGGTGAGCTCACACAGATCTTCCGCCTCAGGCATGGGCTTGAACTAGAGTCCGACCCCACTCAAAGTTTCCTTTCTGAAGCACGGCCTGCCTCTCCCAGGTGAACGGCGTGGACATGAAGCTGCCCGTGGTGCTGGCCAATGGCCAGATCCATGTCTACCAGCATGGTTCCGACGTTGTGATTGAGACCCACTTCGGCCTGCGTGTGGTCTACGACCTTGTGTACTACGTGCGGGTCACCGTCCCCGGAAACTACTACCAGCAGATGTGTGGCCTGTGCGGGGACTACAACGGCGACCCCAAGGATGACTTGAGGAAGCCCGATGGCTCGCAGGCAGGCAACGCCAAGGAGTTCGGCAACTCCTGGGAGGACGCCGTGCCTGGTTCTCCCTGCCTGCCGCCACCCACCTGCCCGCCGGGGAGCGAGGGCTGCAACCCAGACGGCCAGTGTCCTCCCGAGCTGGAGGACAAGTATCAGAAGGAGGAGTTCTGTGGGCTCCTCACCAGCCCCACAGGGCCGCTGGCCTCCTGCCACAAGCTGGTGGATCCCCAGGGTCCCTTGAAAGACTGTGTCTTTGATCTGTGCCTGGGTGGTGGGAACCTGAGCATTCTCTGCAGCAACATCCATGCCTATGTGAGTGCTTGCCAGGCGGCTGGAGGCCACGTGGAGCCCTGGAGGACCGAAACTTTCTGTCGTGAGTGAGGGAGAGACGGAGGGGCAAGGAGGGGAGAGGTTGGGGCACAGAAGGGGTAGACCCTGGGCCTTGCAGCCCCTCCCTCCACAGCGCTCTGATCGGCACCCCCTCCTTACAGCCATGAAGTGCCCCTCGAACAGTCACTACGAGCTCTGCGCGGACACCTGCTCCCTGGGCTGCTCCGCTCTCAGCGCCCCTCCGCAGTGCCCGGATGGATGTGCCGAGGGCTGTCAGTGCGACTCCGGCTTCCTCTACAACGGCCAAGCCTGTGTCCCCATCGGGCAATGCGGCTGTTACCACAATGGTGTCTACTACGAGGTAGGAACTTAGTCATCGGGGCCAGAACATGGGGCCTCACCCCTCCCCCTGCCCATCAATCCCACAGTCTGTCTACTTGGGTGCTTATTTATTTCTTTTAGCGGCAGGGTCTCACTCTGTCACCCAGGCTGGAGTGCAGTGGTACCATCATAGCTCACTGCAACGCCAAAAGCCTTGGCTCAGGCAATCCTTCCACTTCACTTGCCAAGTATCTGGGACTCACCACCATGCCCAGGGAATTTTAATTTTTTGTTGATGCAGAGGTGGGGGCATCTCACTATGTTGCTCAGGCTTGTCTTGAGCTGCAGGCCTCAAGCCATCCTCCCATCTTGGCCTCCCAAAGTGCTGGGAATACTGGCATGAGCCACCCTGCCAGGCCCACTCAGCCTCTTTTACTTATTTATTTATTTTTTAAGACATAGTCTCGCTCTGTCACCCAGTCTGGAGTGCAACCTCTGCCTCCCGGGTTCACACAATTCTCCTGCTTCAGCCTTTGGAGTAGCTGAGACTACTGCTGTGTGCCACCACACCCGACTAAATTTTTGTATTATTGATAGAGAAGGGCTTTTGCCATGTTGGTCTGGCTGGTCTCGAACTCCTGACTCAAGAGATCCTCCCACCTTGACCTCCCAAAGTGCTGGGATTACAGGCATGAGCCACCATGGCTGGTCTACTGGGCTTCTTCAGTGTCTCTTTCATCTACCCCTTTCCCCCTCCCCATGGCCCTACCTTGATCTAACCTGTCCTCTTCCACCTTGGTCCCTCCCAGCTCCTACCTTTGCTCCCTCTGGTCCACCCTCCATGTGGCAGTGGTAATGTGATGAAGTCACTTGCCCAGAGTCACACAGTTTGGAAACCTCAGACACAGGCTTCAAGCCCAGTGATCTGCTGGGAGTTACTATGTCACACCATTTCTCCTAGAGCAGACATTCCGTGGATAATTTGGAATGAATGACTAAATGAATAAAAGTGAATGAACAAATGAATGAATGAATGAATGAATGACGGCCCCATCATAGGGGTCTGTGAAACTGTGCTTCAGTTTCACAGACAAGGAGCCATCCTGCTGAGAGCTGCTCCTTGTCTGTGATGTCTGCCAAAGCCCTCCGTGCCTGGAACACTGGAGATGTGAGAGTCGGCTCCCACCGTGGTGTCCCTGATGGCCGTGCCCTCTCTCCCCACAGCCGGAAACAGACAGTCCTCATTGACAACTGTCGGCAGCAGTGCACCTGCCACGCGGGTAAAGGCATGGTGTGCCAGGAACACAGCTGCAAGCCGGGCCAGGTGTGCCAGCCCTCCGGAGGCATCCTGAGCTGTGTCACCAAAGGTGCCGGGCTGGGGCTGGGATTGGGGCTGCCGAGACTAGGGATGAAGTATGGGGACTCTGGGGCTGAGGGGGGCGTGATTGGGATGCTCATGGCGGGAGGTGTTCAGGACTAAGGATTGAGGTCGCAGACCTGGGGTCCCCAGGTTTCATAGGACCAGGGCCAACTACTCTGGGAGGCAGAGACCTATAGGGGGAATCCAGGCTGTGGGGACCCTGAGAGGTAGGATTCTCAGGGTGGATGTCAGAGTCCCTTGGGATAAGGCAGGGAGAGGCGCATCTTTGCTCTAAAGGGCTACGTAGTAAATGTTTAAGCTTGCAGGCTGTACAGTCTTGGTCCCAGCTACTCACCCTGCCATTGTGGCACGAAAGCAGCCATAGACTATGAAGTGAAGAGGCGAGGCTCCTATAAGACTTTAGAATTCCAGAACAGGGCTGGGCATGGTGGCTCATGTCTATAATCCCAGCACTTTGGGAGGACCAGGTGGGCGAATCACCTGAGGTTGGGAGTTGGAGACCAGCCTGACCAACATGGAGAAAGCCAGTCTCTGCTAAAAATAAAAAATTAGCCAGCGTGGTGGGGCAAGCCTGTAATCCCCGCTACTTGGGAGGCTGAGGTGGGAGAATCACTTGAGCCTGGGAGGCAGAAGTTGCCGTGAGCCGAGAATGTGCCAGTGCACTCCAGCATGGGCAACAAGAGTGAGACTCCTTCTAAAACAAAACAGAACAAAAGAGCCAACTACAGGACCTGTGTAGACACGAGGATGCTGGAATCTGGTCTTGCCTGCGGTAACCCTCAGATCCCTGGCACAGTGTGGGGTAGATGTGGAGGGAGCAGCTGTCCTTTAGAATGGACAGGCTTTCAAGGTCGCCCTCTTCTGTCCCCAGACCCGTGCCACGGTGTGACGTGCCGGCCACAGGAGACGTGCAAGGAGCAGGGCGGCCAGGGTGTGTGCGTGCCCAACTACGAGGCCACGTGCTGGCTGTGGGGCGACCCACACTACCACTCCTTCGACGGCCGCACGTTCGACTTCCAGGGCACCTGTAACTACGTGCTGGCAGCAGCTGGCTGCCCGGGGGTCAGCACCCAGGGCCTGACACCCTTCACCGTCACCACCAAGACGAGAACCGGGGCAACCCTGCTGTGTCTACGTGAGACTGGTCACTGTGGCTGCGCTCGGCACCAACGTCTCTATCCACAAGGACGAGATCGGCAAAGTCCGGGTATGTGTGGCAGGATGGTCCCCTGAGCTCCCCGGGAGGGCAGGAGGGATCCCGACCACCACAAGGCTCTTTGTCTTCAAAGGGCCTGGGCCTGAAACAAAATGTCAATAAGAACAATAATCATTACAGCAGAAATATCCCCCTGTGACTGGGAATTAAATGAGCCTGGCCCCTTGCTACGGGCTTTCACTCAGGACCTCAGCATCTGGCTTTTTAATAGACCTGGCTTTGAATCCAGCTTCTCCTTCTTCAGAGCTGTGTGATGTTGGGCAGTTCACTTGGGAGGCCTCAGTTTCCTCATCTGTGAAGTGGGCATCATAGCAGGGCCTGCCCCACAGTAAGGCGGTGCACGTCACATGCTGAGCTCAGGGTCTAGCTCAGGAGAACACTCCTTTGAGTGTCTGCAAGGGAACAAGGGAGAGGCCCAGAGGCCAGGACATGGAGAGAAACACAGGGAGATCAGGCCGGGTATGGTGGCTCACATCTGCAATCCCAGCTCTCTGGGAGGCCGAGGTGGGTAGATCACCTGAGGTCAGGAGTTTGAGACCAGCCTGGACAACATGGTGAAACCCCCTGTCTACTAAAAATACAAAAGTACCCGGGTGTGGTGGTGCCCCTGTAATCCCAGCTGAGGGAGTAATGAGGAGGCTGAGGCAGGAGAATCACTTGAACGCGGAAAGCGGGAGGTTGCAAGAGCCGAGATTGAGGCACTTCACTCCAGCCAGGGTGACAGAGCAAGACTCCGTTTCAATAAAAAGAAAACAAACAAAAAAAAGAGAAATATAAGGAGATCGGGGCAGAAAGACGAGCTATCCCTTCTGCCCAGGGAACTGGTGATGTAGCTTAATAGCAGCCCAGGGAGAGAGTGAGGGGCGGAACAGAATCGGCACTGGGTAAATGATGGTGAGTGAAAAAGACACACAGAGAGTGACGGAGGCAGGGAAGAGAAGGGAGAGACAGACAAGAGAGAAACAGACAGAGGGAGAGAGAGAGAGAGGGACAGAAGACCCAGAGATATAGCCTTAGGTGAAGAGAGAGGCGAGAGACACAGAGAGACTGAGACAGGGGAGGAAGACAGACATTAGGGAGAAGATCTAGAAAAAGTAAAGTGAGGTTTCATTTCCCAAGCCTGGCTTAGAACAAACATCCACACTGTGTCCAGATGTCAATCCACCTGTTGGAGGAAGACTGGCCTCTCCCAGCCCCCGTGAGGATTGAGAGAGAGGGAGGCAGGGGCCAGAGCTGAGGCCTCCCCACCTGGAGTGAGCCGGTTGCCTCCTTCGCTGTTCCCCGCAGGTGAATGGCGTGCTGACAGCGTTGCCTGTCTCTGTGGCTGCCGGGCGCATTTCAGTGACCCACGGTGCATCCAAGGCATTGCTGGTGGCCGACTTTGGGCTGCAAGTCAGCTATGACTGGAACTGGCGGGTAGATGTGACACTGCCCAGCAGCTATCATGGCGCGGTGTGCGGGCTCTGCGGTAACATGGACCGCGACCCCAGCAACGACCAGTCTTCCCCAATGGCACTCTGGCTCCCTCCATTCCCGTCTGGGGTGGCAGCTGGCGAGCCCCAGGCTGGGACCCACTGTGTTGGGACGAATGTCAGGGGTCCTGCCCAACGTGCCCACCAGGACAAGCTGGAGCAGTACGAGGGCCCTGGCTTCTGCGGACCCCTGGTGCCTGGCACAGGGGGGCCCCTTCACCACCTGCCACGCTCATGTGCCACCTGAGAGCTTCTTCAAGGGCTGCGTTCTGGACGTCTGCATGGGCGGCGGGGCCCACGACAGTCTCTGCCAGGCGCTGGCTTCCTATGCGGCCGCCTGCCAGGCCGCTGGGATTGTCATTGAAGACTGGCGGGCACAGGTTGGCTGTGGTGAGTGTTGGGGAGCACAGGCGGGGATGCGGACGGGGTCCTGTCTCTGGGGGGCTGGTTTGCTTTCACTCTGGTCCTGCTGAGTCTCTTGTGTTTGCGTCTCTCCCTGTTTGTCTCTGTGCCTCTCTTTGCTTGTTTCTGTCTGTCTGTTTCTCATCCTCTGTCTCTGTGTCTCCCTCAGTTTCTGCTTGGGTCTCCTGCTCTCTCTCTCTTTCTCTCATTTCTTCCTGTGTCCTTCTCTGTCTCTCTCTGTCTGCTGCTCTGTCTAACCATTCTCTGTCTGCTCCCTTGTGTCTCTCTCTGTCTCCTCCCACCGTGTCCTGAGACCCCTAACACCGTTTTCTCTGTTTCTCTTCTTCCTGCTCCTTCATCTGCCCACAGCGATCACCTGCCCAGAAAACAGCCACTACGAGTTATGTGGCCCACCCTGTCCGGCCAGCTGCCCATCCCCTGCGCCCCCCACCACCCCAGCCGTATGCCAGGGCCCCTGTGTGGAGGGCTGCCAGTGCAACGCAGGGTTCGTGCTAAGTGCTGACCGCTGTGTTCCCCTAAGCAACGGCTGCGGCTGCTGGGCCAACGGCACCTACCACGAGGCGGGCACTGAGTTTTGGGCTGACGGCACCTGCTCCCAGAGGTGCCGCTGCGGGCCTGGGGGCGGCTCACTGGTCTGCACGCCTGCCAGCTGCGGGCTGGGTGAAGCGTGTGCCCTCCTGCCATCCGGCCAGCACGGCTGCCAGCCTGTCAGCACAGCTGAGTGCCAGGCCTGGGGTGACCCCCATTACGTCACTCTGGATGGGCACCGATTCGATTTCCAAGGCACGTGCGAGTACCTGCTGAGTGCCCCCTGCCACGCACTACCCACGGGGGCTGAGAACTTCACTGTCACTGTAGCCAACGAGCACCGGGGCAGCCAGGCTGTCAGCTACACCCGCAGCGTCACCCTGCACATCTACAACCACAGCCTGACACTGAGTGCCCGCTGGCCCCGGCAGCTACAGGTGAGGAGGGCGGTGGGCCAGGCAGGAGCAGGTGCCAGCTCTGCGGCTGCCTGAGATGGTAAGGGGTTCCCGATTCCCCCCAGCACCTTTCACAGCTTGGCGGCGGCATGATGCAAGGGTTCAGAGTATACGCCAAGGAGCCTGATGGCCTGGCACAGCGGCTTCTTCCTCTCTGAGCCTAGTGTATTCCTCTGCAAAATGGTCTAAGAAAAGTGCCTGTTTTAGAGAAGCATGAGGAGTCAGTCACGTGTGCCTACAGAGGCTTTTTTTTTGCTTTAATTTTTTGGGATGGAGTCTTACCCTGTAGTCAGGCTGGTGTGCAATGGCGCAATCTCACTGGCTCGCTGAAACCTCTGCCTCCCAGGTTCAAGGAATTGTCCTGCCTCAGCTCCGGAGTAGCTGGGATTCCAGGAGCGTGCCACCAAGCCCGGCTAATTTTTGTATTTTTGGTAGAGACGGGGTTTCACCGTTTTGGCCAGAGTGGTCTTGATCTCCTGACCTCGTGATCCACCTGCCTCGGCCTCCCAAAGCGCTGAGATAACACCATGAACCATCGTAGCGGCGCTTTTCTTCCTTTCTGTTTTTCTTAGCCTTACTCAGTCGTCCAGGCTGGAGTGCAATGACAGGATCAGGGCTCACTGCAGCATGGAACTCCTGGGCTCAACTGATCTCCGCTTTGGCCTTGGCCTCCCGAGTGGCTGGGCAGGACTAATGGCAAACGCCACTACGGTGGCTAATTCTTAATTTTTTTTGTAGAGTTGGGGGTCTCACTATGTTGCCCAGGCTGGTCCCAACTCCTGACCTCATGTCATCCTCCCAAGTCAGCCTCCCACAGTGCTGGGACTGCAGGCTGTGCCATCAGGCCTGGCCTAAAGATGCTGCTTATTATTTTCAGAGGGGAGGTGACGTTGCTCAGGGTCCCAGAGTGGAACGTGGTGGGGTCAGGATTGAAACCTGTGTTCGTTCCGCCCATCGCACCCCCAATCCCCGCCCGCAGGTGGACGGCGAGTTCGTGGCGCTACCCTTCCAGCTGGACTCGCTCCTGCAGGCACACCTGAGCGGCGCCGACGTGGTGGTGACCGCGACCTCGGGGCTCTCGCTGGCTTTCGACGGGAACAGCTTGGTGCGCCTGCGCGTGCCGGCGGCGTACGCGGGCTCCCTCTGTGGCCTATGCGGGAACTACAACCAGAACCCAGCAGACGACCTGAAGGCGGTGGGCGGGAACCCGGCCGGGTGGCAGGTGGGCGGCGCCCCAGGCTGCGGGGAATGTGTGCCAGGGCCTTGCCCGCGGCCTTGCACGCCGGAGCAGCAGGAGGCCTTCGGCGGCCCGGACGCCTGCGGCGTGATCTCGGCCACCGACGGCCCGCTGGCGCCCTGCCACGGCCTCGTGCCGCCCGCGCAATACTTCCAGGGCTGCTTGCTGGACGCCTGCCAAGCTCAGGGCCATCCTGGAGGCCTCTGTCCTGCAGTGGCCGCCTACGTGGCAGCCTGTCAGGCCGCTGGGGCCCAGCTCGGCGAGTGGAGGCGGCCCGACTTCTGTCGTGAGTACTGATCCATGTATGGTCCACATAGCAGAGTCTCTCCCTGCCCTTCCCGAGAGTAAGACAGCAGCCCCTTCCTCTTCCATGGGCTCAGGGGCCACCGTCGTTCCTCTGAGCTAGCTATGTCCTGTCAGCAAACACCTTGGCACCCACACACTGAAATGCACCAGGTCAGGAACTGCAGGGAGAGGACATCAGTTAGAAACACCTAGTCAGAGTCCAGGGACCTTGGCTCATGCCTGTTATCTGAGCACTTTGGGAGGCCGAGGCAGGCAGATCACCTGAGGTCAAGAGTCAGAGACCAGCCTGACCGACATGGTGAAACCCAGTCTCTACTAAATATACAAAAATTAGCCAGGTGTGGTGGTGCTCCTGTAATCCCAGCTACCCAGAAGGCTGAGGCAAGAGAATTGCTTGAACCCGGGAGATGGGGGTTGCAGTGAGCCAAGATCATGCCACTGTATTCTAGCCTGAGGGACAGGATGGTATTCTATCTCAAAAAAAAAAGAAAAAAGAAAAACAAAGATAGAAAGAGGTGGGGAGGGAGGGAACGAAAGAGAGAGAGAGAGAGAGAGAGAGAGAGAGAGAGAGAGAGAGAAGAGATGAAAGAAAGGAAGGAAGGAAGGAAGAAAAAGAAAGAAAGAAAGCGAAAGATCTAGTCAGAATCCCTGAGTCCACGACACTCTTGGGTATTAGTGATTCATGTTCTTGGGGAGGGAGGGAAAGGAAGGAAAAAAGGAAAGAAGGAAGGCAGGTATGAAGGGAGGAAGGAAGGAACGAAGGGAGGAAGGAAGAGAGGGAGGGAGGAATCCCAGGACACTCTTGGGATTGGTGATCCATGCTCTCAGATGTCCAAGGCATGTAGATTGGAATGGCTGATGCTGGTGACGTCACACAGCAAAGTACCCCTGGTTTGGAAGACCTAGTAAGTTACAGCTGGTCAGAGGCCCCTGGTCTGTTTCACACACCAAAATGCACCTAGTGACATAGAATTAGTCAAATACCTTCAGTGGTATCTGCTTAGATTTTACACCGAGGCTAGCCGATCACATACACTGAGAATCAGGACACTGCCATAGCCCCAGGCAGATCCACACAGACGCATAGTTAGGTAGTCCTAGGTGGTTCCCTTCAGACAGGTCTCCTGGTCACATGTATCCTGCCAACTTCACTCAGAAACACCCTGAGACAGACCATGTCAGAGGGACTCTGGGAGATGCTCCAGGTCAGATACGCACAGCGGGGCGCCCTCAGGCAGAGTTTTACCCTGAGATACATGTGGCCCCACACCCCATTCACTTTCACACCCTGAGACCTCTGTTCTGATCTTGAATATCCTGGTCGGTATAAGTGGTCCATTTCACCCTGGGTTACAGTCTAGGTTACATAGTGAGACCCCATCTCTACAAAAAATAATAATAAATTAGCTTGACGTGGAGGCTTGCACCTGTAGTCTCAGCTACTCGGGAGGCTGAGGCAAGAGGATCACTTGAGCCCAGGAGGTGGAGGCTGCAGTGAGCCGTGACTGCGCCTCTGCACTCCAGCCTGGGTGAGATAGAGTGAGACCCTCTTTCAAAAAAAAAAGAAAAAAATCAGCCAAACAGAGTCATTTGATCTTTAGAAATATTTGGTCAGGTTAACATACAAGTTGGTCAGAGAGACCTCGGCATGTCCCCCCCCATTCCAGGTCCCACGCTGAGTCCCCCAGTTACATGTCCTGGATCACATGTGGATGCCTAGAGACACCCAAGCTGGCCCGAGCAGTTTTCCCACTCAGGGCCTCCCCAGACCCCGACAAACACCTACCTGTCTCATACCCACCTTGTCCCCACAGCCTTCCAGTGCCCTGCGCACAGCCACTACGAGCTCTGCGGTGACTCCTGCCCCGTGAGCTGCCCTAGCCTCTCGGCACCCGAGGGCTGCGAGTCGGCCTGCCGTGAAGGCTGTGTCTGTGATGCCGGCTTCGTGCTTAGCGGTGACAGCTGCGTACCTGTGGGCCAGTGTGGCTGCGTCCACAATGGCCGCTACTACCCTCTGGGCCAGACCTTCTATCCGGGCCCCGGCTGTGATTCCCTTTGCCACTGCCAGAAGGGCGGCCTGGTGTCCTGTGAGCCCTCCACCTGCGGGCCGCATGAGGTCTGCCAGCCGTCTGGTGGCAGCTTGGGCTGTGTGGCCGTGGGCTCTGCCACCTGCCAGGCGTCAGGAGACCCCCACTACACCACCTTCGACGGCCGCCACTTCGACTTCATGGGCACCTGCGTGTATGTGCTGGCTCAGACCTGCAACACCACCCGGCCTGGGCTGCACTCGTTTGCCGTCCTGCAGGAGAATGTGGCCTGGGGTAATGGGCAAGTCAGTGTGACCAGGGTGATCACGGTCCAGGTGGCAAACTTCACCCTGCGGCTGGAGCAGAGACAGTGGAAGGTCACGGTGAGAGCAACGGGGAACAGGGCTGAGGGGCCTGTGGCTGGGTGGGTGGGGCATGGGGAGCACTCAGCCTAGGAGTTGGGGGCACAGAGATGAGAGCGCATGTGGGAGGCCTGGGGTCCCTGAGGACAGAAGATGCCAATCAGAGCCCAGAGCAGGAAGCCAAGGAGGGAAGTGTCATCAGGGACTTGGGACCTGCTCTCCCATCTCTCTGTCCCTCAGTCTCCACTCTCTCTTCATCTCCATGCATTGACTTTTCTCTCCAAATCTCCCCCACCCTCCCACTCCATCCTCTCCCCACCTCAATGCTGGATTCTGCCCTACCCACCTCCCTAGTCTGCCAGGTATTGGCAGGGCATCGTGTCATTGAGGTTGGGAAAGTTCAAGGCTGGAGAAGCTTCCTGGACAGAGGACAATCTCTGGGTGACACCATCGCCCCCTTAACAGTAGCAGCTGGCTGGGCACGGTGGCTCACACCTGTAAACACAGCACTTTGGGAGTTCGAGGTGGGCAGATCATGAGGTCAAGAGATTGAGACCATCCTGATCAACATGGTGAAACGCCGTCTTTAGTAAAATACAAAAAAATTAGCCGGGCATGTTGGTGCATGCCTGTAGTCCCAGCTACTCAGGAAGCTGAGGCAGGAGAATTGCTTGAAACTGGAAAACGGAAGTTGCAGTGAGCTGGGATCAGGCCACTGCATTCCAGCCTGGCAATAGAGTGAGACTCTGTGGCAAAAGAAAAACAAAACAGTACCAGCAGCAGCTATAGGTTCTACACAGCTGACTGTAGACCCTGTTGGCCGCCAGGCACTTCATGTCCATGGTGTCTGTGTCTTTGCAACAGTAGCTGCAGGCACTATGACTTGATTTATTTTCAGAGTGGATGGTTCATCACTGGCCACAGTCACCCAGCAAAGGTAGAGCTTGAACCCCGTGCTGCTCTGCAGTGCTTTTTTTACCGAGAAGATCTGGTCTCATATGGAGACTGGCATCTCAGTTACAATGGAGGGGTTTCCCCTGAGATCCACTGAAGCACAGACACGCAGCTGTTGTTCCGGCAGCAGTATTGGTGACGGTGCTGACATTGCTGATTTAATCGGGTGCACTAGACAGATGTGACTTTTTTTTTGGACAGAGTCATGCTTTGTCACCCAGGTTAGAGTGGGTTCAAGTGATTCTCCTGCCTCTGCCTCCAGAATAGCTGGGATTACAAGTGTGCAACACTACGCCCAGCAATGTTTGCGTTTTTTAGTAGAGATGGGACGTTGCCTTGTTGGCCAGGCTGGTCTCAAACTCCTTACGTCAAGTGATCTGCCGGCCTCAGCCTCCCAAAGTGCTGATCTTCCGCCTCAGGCATGGGCTTGAACTAGAGTCTGACCCCACTCAAAGTTTCCTTTCTGAAGCACGGCCTGCCTCTCCCAGGTGAACGGCGTGGACATGAAGCTGCCCGTGGTGCTGGCCAATGGCCAGATCCGTGTCTACCAGCATGGTTCCGACGTTGTGATTGCGACCACTTCGGCCTGCGTGTGGTCTACGACCTTGTGTACTACGTGCGGGTCACCGTCCCCGGAAACTACTACCAGCAGATGTGTGGCCTGTGCGGGGACTACAACGGCGACCCCAAGGATGACTTGAGGAAGCCCGATGGCTCGCAGGCAGGCAACGCCAAGGAGTTCGGCAACTCCTGGGAGGACGCCGTGCCTGGTTCTCCCTGCCCGCAGGAGCCCACCTGCCCGCCGGGGAGCGAGGACTGCAAACCCAACGGCAAGTGTCCTCCCGAGCTGGAGGACAAGTATCAGAAGGAGGAGTTCTGTGGGCTCCTCACCAGCCCCACAGGGCCGCTGGCCTCCTGCCACAAGCTGGTGGATCCCCAGGGTCCCTTGCAAGACTGTGTCTTTGATCTGTGCCTGGGTGGTGGGAACCTGAGCATTCTCTGCAGCAACATCCATGCCTATGTGAGTGCTTGCCAGGCGGCTGGAGGCCACGTGGAGCCCTGGAGGACTGAAACTTTCTGTCGTGAGTGAGGGAGAGACAGAGGGGCAAGGAGGGGAGAGGTTGGGGCACAGAACGGGTAGACCCTGGGCCTTGCAGCCCCTCCCTCCACAGCACTCTGATCGGCACCCCCTCCTTACAGCCATGAAGTGCCCCTCGAACAGTCACTACGAGCTCTGCGCGGACACCTGCTCCCTGGGCTGCTCCGCTCTCAGCGCCCTCCGCAGTGCCCGGATGGATGTGCCGAGGGCTGTCAGTGCGACTCCGGCTTCCTCTACAACGGCCAAGCCTGTGTCCCCATCGGGCAATGCGGCTGTTACCACAATGGTGTCTACTACGAGGTAGGAACTTAGTCATCGGGGCCAGAACATGGGGCCTCACCCCTCCCCCTGCCCATCAATCCCACAGTCTGTCTACTTGGGTGCTTATTTATTTCTTTTAGCGGCAGGGTCTCACTCTGTCACCCAGGCTGGAGTGCAGTGGTACCATCATAGCTCACTGCAACGCCAAAGCCTTGGCTCAGGCAATCCTTCCACTTCACTTGCCAAGTATCTGGGACTCACCACCATGCCCAGGGAATTTTTAATTTTTTTGTTGATGCAGAGGTGGGGGCATCTCACTATGTTGCTCAGGCTTGTCTTGAGCTGCAGGCCTCAAGCCATCCTCCCATCTTGGCCTCCCAAAGTGCTGGGAATACTGGCATGAGCCACCCTGCCAGGCCCACTCAGCCTCTTTTACTTATTTATTTATTTTTTAAGACATAGTCTCGCTCTGTCACCCAGTCTGGAGTGCAACCTCCGCCTCCCGGGTTCACACAATTCTCCTACTTCAGCCTTTGGAGTAGCTGAGACTACTGCTGTGTGCCACCACACCCGACTAAATTTTTGTATTATTGATAGAGAAGGGCTTTTGCCATGTTGGTCTGGCTGGTCTCGAACTCCTGACTCAAGAGATCCTCCCACCTTGACCTCCCAAAGTGCTGGGATTACAGGCATGAGCCACCATGGCTGGTCTACTGGGCTTCTTCAGTGTCTCTTTCATCTACCCCTTTCCCCCTCCCCATGGCCCTACCTTGATCTAACCTGTCCTCTTCCACCTTGGTCCCTCCCAGCTCCTACCTTTGCTCCCTCTGGTCCACCCTCCATGTGGCAGTGGTAATGTGATGAAGTCACTTGCCCAGAGTCACACAGTTTGGAAACCTCAGACACAGGCTTCAAGCCCAGTGATCTGCTGGGAGTTACTATGTCACACCATTTCTCCTAGAGCAGACATTCCGTGGATAATTTGGAATGAATGACTAAATGAATAAAAGTGAATGAACAAATGAATGAATGAATGAATGAATGACGGCCCCATCATAGGGGTCTGTGAAACTGTGCTTCAGTTTCACAGACAAGGAGCCATCCTGCTGAGAGCTGCTCCTTGTCTGTGATGTCTGCCAAAGCCCTCCGTGCCCGGAACACCGGAGATGTGAGAGTCGGCTCCCACCGTGGTGTCCCTGATGGCCGTGCCCTCTCTCCCCACAGCCGGAACAGACAGTCCTCATTGACAACTGTCGGCAGCAGTGCACCTGCCACGCGGGTAAAGGCATGGTGTGCCAGGAACACAGCTGCAAGCCGGGCCAGGTGTGCCAGCCCTCCGGAGGCATCCTGAGCTGTGTCACCAAAGGTGCCGGGCTGGGGCTGGGATTGGGGCTGCCGAGACTAGGGATGAAGTATGGGGACTCTGGGGCTGAGGGGGGCGTGATTGGGATGCTCATGGCGGGAGGTGTTCAGGACTAAGGATTGAGGTCGCAGACCTGGGGTCCCCAGGTTTCATAGGACCAGGGCCAACTACTCTGGGAGGCAGAGACCTATAGGGGGAATCCAGGCTGTGGGGACCCTGAGAGGTAGGATTCTCAGGGTGGATGTCAGAGTCCCTTGGGATAAGGCAGGGAGAGGCGCATCTTTGCTCTAAAGGGCTACGTAGTAAATGTTTAAGCTTGCAGGCTGTACAGTCTTGGTCCCAGCTACTCACCCTGCCATTGTGGCACGAAAGCAGCCATAGACTATGAAGTGAAGAGGCGAGGCTCCTATAAGACTTTAGAATTCCAGAACAGGGCTGGGCATGGTGGCTCATGTCTATAATCCCAGCACTTTGGGAGGACCAGGTGGGCGAATCACCTGAGGTTGGGAGTTGGAGACCAGCCTGACCAACATGGAGAAAGCCAGTCTCTGCTAAAAATAAAAATTAGCCAGCGTGGTGGGGCAAGCCTGTAATCCCCGCTACTTGGGAGGCGGAGGTGGGAGAATCACTTGAGCCTGGGAGGCAGAAGTTGCCGTGAGCCGAGAATGTGCCAGTGCACTCCAGCATGGGCAACAAGAGTGAGACTCCTTCTAAAACAAAACAGAACAAAAGAGCCAACTACAGGACCTGTGTAGACACGAGGATGCTGGAATCTGGTCTTGCCTGCGGTAACCCTCAGATCCCTGGCACAGTGTGGGGTAGATGTGGAGGGAGCAGCTGTCCTTTAGAATGGACAGGCTTTCAAGGTCGCCCTCTTCTGTCCCCAGACCCGTGCCACGGTGTGACGTGCCGGCCACAGGAGACGTGCAAGGAGCAGGGCGGCCAGGGCGTGTGCGTGCCCAACTACGAGGCCACGTGCTGGCTGTGGGGCGACCCACACTACCACTCCTTCGACGGCCGCACGTTCGACTTCCAGGGCACCTGTAACTACGTGCTGGCAGCAGCTGGCTGCCCGGGGGTCAGCACCCAGGGCCTGACACCCTTCACCGTCACCACCAAGAACGAGAACCGGGGCAACCCTGCTGTGTCCTACGTGAGACTGGTCACTGTGGCTGCGCTCGGCACCAACGTCTCTATCCACAAGGACGAGATCGGCAAAGTCCGGGTATGTGTGGCAGGATGGTCCCCTGAGCTCCCCGGGAGGGCAGGAGGGATCCCGACCACCACAAGGCTCTTTGTCTTCAAAGGGCCTGGGCCTGAAACAAAATGTCAATAAGAACAACAATCATTACAGCAGAAATATCCCCCTGTGACTGGGAATTAAATGAGCCTGGCCCCTTGCTACGGGCTTTCACTCAGGACCTCAGCATCTGGCTTTTTAATAGACCTGGCTTTGAATCCAGCTTCTCCTTCTTCAGAGCTGTGTGATGTTGGGCAGTTCACTTGGGAGGCCTCAGTTTCCTCATCTGTGAAGTGGGCATCATAGCAGGGCCTGCCCCACAGTAAGGCGGTGCACGTCACATGCTGAGCTCAGGGTCTAGCTCAGGAGAACACTCCTTTGAGTGTCTGCAAGGGAACAAGGGAGAGGCGCAGAGGCCAGGACATGGAGAGAAACACAGGGAGATCAGGCCGGGTATGGTGGCTCACATCTGCAATCCCAGCTCTCTGGGAGGCCGAGGTGGGTAGATCACCTGAGGTCAGGAGTTTGAGACCAGCCTGGACAACATGGTGAAACCCCCTGTCTACTAAAAATACAAAAATTACCCGGGTGTGGTGGTGCCCCTGTAATCCCAGCTGAGGGAGTAATGAGGAGGCTGAGGCAGGAGAATCACTTGAACGCGGAAAGCGGAGGTTGCAAGAGCCGAGATTGAGGCACTTCACTCCAGCCAGGGTGACAGAGCAAGACTCCGTCTCAATAAAAAGAAAACAAACAAAAAAAAGAGAAATATAAGGAGATCGGGGCAGAAAGACGAGCTATCCCTTCTGCCCAGGGAACTGGTGATGTAGCTTAATAGCAGCCCAGGGAGAGAGTGAGGGGCGGAACAGAATCGGCACTGGGTAAATGATGGTGAGTGAAAAAGACACACAGAGAGTGACGGAGGCAGGGAAGAGAAGGGAGAGACAGACAAGAGAGAAACAGACAGAGGGAGAGAGAGAGAGAGGGACAGAAGACCCAGAGATATAGCCTTAGGTGAAGAGAGAGGGCGAGAGACACAGAGAGACTGAGACAGGGGAGGAAGACAGACATTAGGGGAGAAGATCTAGAAAAAGTAAAGTGAGGTTTCATTTCCCAAGCCTGGCTTAGAACAAACATCCACACTGTGTCAGATGTCAATCCACCTGTTGGAGGAAGACTGGCCTCTCCCAGCCCCCGTGAGGATGAGAGAGAGGGAGGCAGGGGCCAGAGCTGAGGCCTCCCCACCTGGAGTGAGCCGGTTGCCTCCTTCGCTGTTCCCCGCAGGTGAATGGCGTGCTGACAGCGTTGCCTGTCTCTGTGGCTGACGGGCGCATTTCAGTGACCCACGGTGCATCCAAGGCATTGCTGGTGGCCGACTTTGGGCTGCAAGTCAGCTATGACTGGAACTGGCGGGTAGATGTGACACTGCCCAGCAGCTATCATGGCGCGGTGTGCGGGCTCTGCGGTAACATGGACCGCGACCCCAGCAACGACCAGGTCTTCCCCAATGGCACTCTGGCTCCCTCCATTCCCGTCTGGGGTGGCAGCTGGCGAGCCCCAGGCTGGGACCCACTGTGTTGGGACGAATGTCAGGGGTCCTGCCCAACGTGCCCCCAGGACAAGCTGGAGCAGTACGAGGGCCCTGGCTTCTGCGGACCCCTGGTGCCTGGCACAGGGGGCCCCTTCACCACCTGCCACGCTCATGTGCCACCTGAGAGCTTCTTCAAGGGCTGCGTTCTGGACGTCTGCATGGGCGGCGGGGCCCACGACAGTCTCTGCCAGGCGCTGGCTTCCTATGCGGCCGCCTGCCAGGCCGCTGGGATTGTCATTGAAGACTGGCGGGCACAGGTTGGCTGTGGTGAGTGTTGGGGAGCACAGGCGGGGATGCGGACGGGGTCCTGTCTCTGGGGGGCTGGTTTGCTTTCACTCTGGTCCTGCTGAGTCTCTTGTGTTTGCGTCTCTCCCTGTTTGTCTCTGTGCCTCTCTTTGCTTGTTTCTGTCTGTCTGTTCTCATCCTCTGTCTCTGTGTCTCCCTCAGTTTCTGCTTGGGTCTCCTGCTCTCTCTCTCTTCTCTCATTTCTTCCTGTGTCCTTCTCTGTCTCTCTCTGTCTGCTGCTCTGTCTAACCATTCTCTGTCTGCTCCCTTGTGTCTCTCTCTGTCTCCTCCCACCGTGTCCTGAGACCCCTAACACCGTTTTCTCTGTTTCTCTTCTTCCTGCTCCTTCATCTGCCCACAGCGATCACCTGCCCAGAAAACAGCCACTACGAGTTATGTGGCCCACCCTGTCCGGCCAGCTGCCCATCCCCTGCGCCCCCCACCACCCCAGCCGTATGCCAGGGCCCCTGTGTGGAGGGCTGCCAGTGCAACGCAGGGTTCGTGCTAAGTGCTGACCGCTGTGTTCCCCTAAGCAACGGCTGCGGCTGCTGGGCCAACGGCACCTACCACGAGGCGGGCACTGAGTTTTGGGCTGACGGCACCTGCTCCCAGAGGTGCCGCTGCGGGCCTGGGGGCGGCTCACTGGTCTGCACGCCTGCCAGCTGCGGGCTGGGTGAAGCGTGTGCCCTCCTGCCATCCGGCCAGCACGGCTGCCAGCCTGTCAGCACAGCTGAGTGCCAGGCCTGGGGTGACCCCCATTACGTCACTCTGGATGGGCACCGATTCGATTTCCAAGGCACGTGCGAGTACCTGCTGAGTGCCCCCTGCCACGCACTACCACGGGGGCTGAGAACTTCACTGTCACTGTAGCCACGAGCACCGGGGCGCCAGGCTGTCAGCTACACCCGCAGCGTCACCCTGCACATCTACAACCACAGCCTGACACTGAGTGCCCGCTGGCCCCGGCAGCTACAGGTGAGGAGGGCGGTGGGCCAGGCAGGAGCAGGTGCCAGCTCTGCGGCTGCCTGAGATGGTAAGGGGTTCCCGATTCCCCCCAGCACCTTTCACAGCTTGGCGGCGGCATGATGCAAGGGTTCAGAGTATACGCCAAGGAGCCTGATGGCCTGGCACAGCGGCTTCTTCCTCTCTGAGCCTAGTGTATTCCTCTGCAAAATGGTCTAAGAAAAGTGCCTGTTTTAGAGAAGCATGAGGAGTCAGTCACGTGTGCCTACAGAGGCTTTTTTTTTGCTTTAATTTTTTGGGATGGAGTCTTACCCTGTAGTCCAGGCTGGTGTGCAATGGCGCAATCTCACTGGCTCGCTGAAACCTCTGCCTCCCAGGTTCAAGGAATTGTCCTGCCTCAGCTCCGGAGTAGCTGGGATTCCAGGAGCGTGCCACCAAGCCCGGCTAATTTTTTGTATTTTTGGTAGAGACGGGGTTTCACCGTTTTGGCCAGAGTGGTCTTGATCTCCTGACCTCGTGATCCACCTGCCTCGGCCTCCCAAAGCGCTGAGATAACACCATGAACCATCGTAGCGGCGCTTTTCTTCCTTTCTGTTTTTCTTAGCCTTACTCAGTCGTCCAGGCTGGAGTGCAATGACAGGATCAGGGCTCACTGCAGCATGGAACTCCTGGGCTCAACTGATCCTCGCTTTGGCCTTGGCCTCCCGAGTGGCTGGGCAGGACTAATGGCAAACGCCACTACGGTGGCTAATTCTTAATTTTTTTTGTAGAGTTGGGGGTCTCACTATGTTGCCCAGGCTGGTCCCAACTCCTGACCTCATGTCATCCTCCCAAGTCAGCCTCCCACAGTGCTGGGACTGCAGGCTGTGCCATCAGGCCTGGCCTAAAGATGCTGCTTATTATTTTCAGAGGGGAGGTGACGTGCTCAGGGTCCCAGAGTGGAACGTGGTGGGGTCAGGATTGAAACCTGTGTTCGTTCCGCCCATCGCACCCCCAATCCCCGCCCGCAGGTGGACGGCGAGTTCGTGGCGCTACCCTTCCAGCTGGACTCGCTCCTGCAGGCACACCTGAGCGGCGCCGACGTGGTGGTGACCGCGACCTCGGGGCTCTCGCTGGCTTTCGACGGGAACAGCTTGGTGCGCCTGCGCGTGCCGGCGGCGTACGCGGGCTCCCTCTGTGGCCTATGCGGGAACTACAACCAGAACCCAGCAGACGACCTGAGGCGGTGGGCGGGAACCCGGCCGGGTGGCAGGTGGGCGGCGCCCCAGGCTGCGGGGAATGTGTGCCAGGGCCTTGCCCGCGGCCTTGCACGCCGGAGCAGCAGGAGGCCTTCGGCGGCCCGGACGCCTGCGGCGTGATCTCGGCCACCGACGGCCCGCTGGCGCCCTGCCACGGCCTCGTGCCGCCCGCGCAATACTTCCAGGGCTGCTTGCTGGACGCCTGCCAAGCTCAGGGGCCATCCTGGAGGCCTCTGTCCTGCAGTGGCCGCCTACGTGGCAGCCTGTCAGGCCGCTGGGGCCCAGCTCGGCGAGTGGAGGCGGCCCGACTTCTGTCGTGAGTACTGATCCATGTATGGTCCACATAGCAGAGTCTCTCCCTGCCCTTCCCGAGAGTAAGACAGCAGCCCCTTCCTCTTCCATGGGCTCAGGGGCCACCGTCGTTCCTCTGAGCTAGCTATGTCCTGTCAGCAAACACCTTGGCACCCACACACTGAAATGCACCAGGTCAGGAACTGCAGGGAGAGGACATCAGTTAGAAACACCTAGTCAGAGTCCAGGGACCTTGGCTCATGCCTGTTATCTGAGCACTTTGGGAGGCCGAGGCAGGCAGATCACCTGAGGTCAAGAGTCAGAGACCAGCCTGACCGACATGGTGAAACCCAGTCTCTACTAAATATACAAAAATTAGCCAGGTGTGGTGGTGCTCCTGTAATCCCAGCTACCCAGAAGGCTGAGGCAAGAGAATTGCTTGAACCCGGGAGATGGGGGTTGCAGTGAGCCAAGATCATGCCACTGTATTCTAGCCTGAGGGACAGGATGGTATTCTATCTCAAAAAAAAAAGAAAAAGAAAACAAAGATAGAAAGAGGTGGGGAGGGAGGGAACGAAAGAGAGAGAGAGAGAGAGAGAGAGAGAGAGAGAGGAGAGAGAGAAGAGATGAAAGAAAGGAAGGAAGGAAGGAAGAAAAAGAAAGAAAGAAAGCGAAAAGATCTAGTCAGAATCCTGAGTCCACGACACTCTTGGGTATTAGTGATTCATGTTCTTGGGGAGGGAGGGAAAGGAAGGAAAAAAGGAAAGAAGGAAGGCATGTATGAAGGGAGGAAGGAAGGAACGAAGGGAGGAAGGAAGAGAGGGAGGGAGGAATCCCAGGACACTCTTGGGATTGGTGATCCATGCTCTCAGATGTCCAAGGCATGTAGATTGGAATGGCTGATGCTGGTGACGTCACACAGCAAAGTACCCCTGGTTTGGAAGACCTAGTAAGTTACAGCTGGTCAGAGGCCCCTGGTCTGTTTCACACACCAAAATGCACCTAGTGACATAGAATTAGTCAAATACCTTCAGTGGTATCTGCTTAGATTTTACACCGAGGCTAGCCGATCACATACACTGAGAATCAGGACACTGCCATAGCCCCAGGCAGATCCACACAGACGCATAGTTAGGTAGTCCTAGGTGGTTCCCTTCAGACAGGTCTCCTGGGTCACATGTATCCTGCCAACTTCACTCAGAAACACCCTGAGACAGACCATGTCAGAGGGACTCTGGGAGATGCTCCAGGTCAGATACGCACAGCGGGGCGCCCTCAGGCAGAGTTTTACCCTGAGATACATGTGGCCCCACACCCCATTCACTTTCACACCCTGAGACCTCTGTTCTGATCTTGAATATCCTGGTCGGTATAAGTGGTCCATTTCACCCTGGGTTACAGTCTAGGTTACATAGTGAGACCCCATCTCTACAAAAAATAATAATAAATTAGCTTGACGTGGAGGCTTGCACCTGTAGTCTCAGCTACTCGGGAGGCTGAGGCAAGAGGATCACTTGAGCCAGGAGGTGGAGGCTGCAGTGAGCCGTGACTGCGCCTCTGCACTCCAGCCTGGGTGAGATAGAGTGAGACCCTCTTTCAAAAAAAAAAGAAAAAAATCAGCCAAACAGAGTCATTTGATCTTTAGAAATATTTGGTCAGGTTAACATACAAGTTGGTCAGAGAGACCTCGGCATGTCCCCCCCATTCCAGGTCCCACGCTGAGTCCCCCAGTTACATGTCCTGGATCACATGTGGATGCCTAGAGACACCCAAGCTGGCCCGAGCAGTTTTCCCACTCAGGGCCTCCCCAGACCCCGACAAACACCTACCTGTCTCATACCCACCTTGTCCCCACAGCCTTCCAGTGCCCTGCGCACAGCCACTACGAGCTCTGCGGTGACTCCTGCCCCGTGAGCTGCCCTAGCCTCTCGGCACCCCGAGGGCTGCGAGTCGGCCTGCCGTGAAGGCTGTGTCTGTGATGCCGGCTTCGTGCTTAGCGGTGACAGCTGCGTACCTGTGGGCCAGTGTGGCTGCGTCCACAATGGCCGCTACTACCCTCTGGGCCAGACCTTCTATCCGGGCCCCGGCTGTGATTCCCTTTGCCACTGCCAGAAGGGCGGCCTGGTGTCCTGTGAGCCCTCCACCTGCGGGCCGCATGAGGTCTGCCAGCCGTCTGGTGGCAGCTTGGGCTGTGTGGCCGTGGGCTCTGCCACCTGCCAGGCGTCAGGAGACCCCCACTACACCACCTTCGACGGCCGCCACTTCGACTTCATGGGCACCTGCGTGTATGTGCTGGCTCAGACCTGCAACACCACCCGGCCTGGGCTGCACTCGTTTGCCGTCCTGCAGGAGAACGTGGCCTGGGGTAATGGGCAAGTCAGTGTGACCAGGGTGATCACGGTCCAGGTGGCAAACTTCACCCTGCGGCTGGAGCAGAGACAGTGGAAGGTCACGGTGAGAGCAACGGGGAACAGGGCTGAGGGGCCTGTGGCTGGGTGGGTGGGGCATGGGGAGCACTCAGCCTAGGAGTTGGGGGCACAGAGATGAGAGCGCATGTGGGAGGCCTGGGGTCCCTGAGGACAGAAGATGCCAATCAGAGCCCAGAGCAGGAAGCCAAGGAGGGAAGTGTCATCAGGGACTTGGGACCTGCTCTCCCATCTCTCTGTCCCTCAGTCTCCACTCTCTCTTCATCTCCATGCATTGACTTTTCTCTCCAAATCTCCCCCACCCTCCCACTCCATCCTCTCCCCACCTCAATGCTGGATTCTGCCCTACCCACCTCCCTAGTCTGCCAGGTATTGGCAGGGCATCGTGTCATTGAGGTTGGGAAAGTTCAAGGCTGGAGAAGCTTCCTGGACAGAGGACAATCTCTGGGTGACACCATCGCCCCCTTAACAGTAGCAGCTGGCTGGGCACGGTGGCTCACACCTGTAAACACAGCACTTTGGGAGTTCGAGGTGGGCAGATCATGAGGTCAAGAGATTGAGACCATCCTGATCAACATGGTGAAACGCCGTCTTTAGTAAAATACAAAAAAATTAGCCGGGCATGTTGGTGCATGCCTGTAGTCCCAGCTACTCAGGAAGCTGAGGCAGGAGAATTGCTTGAAACTGGAAAACGGAAGTTGCAGTGAGCTGGGATCAGGCCACTGCATTCCAGCCTGGCAATAGAGTGAGACTCTGTGGCAAAAGAAAAACAAAAACAGTACCAGCAGCAGCTATAGGTTCTACACAGCTGACTGTAGACCCTGTTGGCCGCCAGGCACTTCATGTCCATGGTGTCTGTGTCTTTGCAACAGTAGCTGCAGGCACTATGACTTGATTTATTTTTCAGAGTGGATGGTTCATCACTGGCCACAGTCACCCAGCAAAGGTAGAGCTTGAACCCCGTGCTGCTCTGCAGTGCTTTTTTTACCGAGAAGATCTGGTCTCATATGGAGACTGGCATCTCAGTTACAATGGAGGGGTTTCCCCTGAGATCCCACTGAAGCACAGACACGCAGCTGTTGTTCCGGCAGCAGTATTGGTGACGGTGCTGACATTGCTGATTTAATCGGGTGCACTAGACAGATGTGACTTTTTTTTTGGACAGAGTCATGCTTTGTCACCCAGGTTAGAGTGGGTTCAAGTGATTCTCCTGCCTCTGCCTCCAGAATAGCTGGGATTACAAGTGTGCAACACTACGCCCAGCAAATGTTTGCGTTTTTTAGTAGAGATGGGACGTTGCCTTGTTGGCCAGGCTGGTCTCAAACTCCTTACGTCAAGTGATCTGCCGGCCTCAGCCTCCCAAAGTGCTGATCTTCCGCCTCAGGCATGGGCTTGAACTAGAGTCTGACCCCACTCAAAGTTTCCTTTCTGAAGCACGGCCTGCCTCTCCCAGGTGAACGGCGTGGACATGAAGCTGCCCGTGGTGCTGGCCAATGGCCAGATCCGTGTCTACCAGCATGGTTCCGACGTTGTGATTGCGACCCACTTCGGCCTGCGTGTGGTCTACGACCTTGTGTACTACGTGCGGGTCACCGTCCCCGGAAACTACTACCAGCAGATGTGTGGCCTGTGCGGGGACTACAACGGCGACCCCAAGGATGACTTGAGGAAGCCCGATGGCTCGCAGGCAGGCAACGCCAAGGAGTTCGGCAACTCCTGGGAGGACGCCGTGCCTGGTTCTCCCTGCCCGCAGGAGCCCACCTGCCCGCCGGGGAGCGAGGACTGCAAACCCAACGGCAAGTGTCCTCCCGAGCTGGAGGACAAGTATCAGAAGGAGGAGTTCTGTGGGCTCCTCACCAGCCCCACAGGGCCGCTGGCCTCCTGCCACAAGCTGGTGGATCCCCAGGGTCCCTTGCAAGACTGTGTCTTTGATCTGTGCCTGGGTGGTGGGAACCTGAGCATTCTCTGCAGCAACATCCATGCCTATGTGAGTGCTTGCCAGGCGGCTGGAGGCCACGTGGAGCCCTGGAGGACTGAAACTTTCTGTCGTGAGTGAGGGAGAGACAGAGGGGCAAGGAGGGGAGAGGTTGGGGCACAGAACGGGTAGACCCTGGGCCTTGCAGCCCCTCCCTCCACAGCACTCTGATCGGCACCCCCTCCTTACAGCCATGAAGTGCCCCTCGAACAGTCACTACGAGCTCTGCGCGGACACCTGCTCCCTGGGCTGCTCCGCTCTCAGCGCCCCTCCGCAGTGCCCGGATGGATGTGCCGAGGGCTGTCAGTGCGACTCCGGCTTCCTCTACAACGGCCAAGCCTGTGTCCCCATCGGGCAATGCGGCTGTTACCACAATGGTGTCTACTACGAGGTAGGAACTTAGTCATCGGGGCCAGAACATGGGCCTCACCCCTCCCCCTGCCCATCAATCCCACAGTCTGTCTACTTGGGTGCTTATTTATTTCTTTTAGCGGCAGGGTCTCACTCTGTCACCCAGGCTGGAGTGCAGTGGTACCATCATAGCTCACTGCAACGCCAAAAGCCTTGGCTCAGGCAATCCTTCCACTTCACTTGCCAAGTATCTGGGACTCACCACCATGCCCAGGGAATTTTTAATTTTTTTGTTGATGCAGAGGTGGGGGCATCTCACTATGTTGCTCAGGCTTGTCTTGAGCTGCAGGCCTCAAGCCATCCTCCCATCTTGGCCTCCCAAAGTGCTGGGAATACTGGCATGAGCCACCCTGCCAGGCCCACTCAGCCTCTTTTACTTATTTATTTATTTTTTAAGACATAGTCTCGCTCTGTCACCCAGTCTGGAGTGCAACCTCCGCCTCCCGGGTTCACACAATTCTCCTACTTCAGCCTTTGGAGTAGCTGAGACTACTGCTGTGTGCCACCACACCCGACTAAATTTTGTATTATTGATAGAGAAGGGCTTTTGCCATGTTGGTCTGGCTGGTCTCGAACTCCTGACTCAAGAGATCCTCCCACCTTGACCTCCCAAAGTGCTGGGATTACAGGCATGAGCCACCATGGCTGGTCTACTGGGCTTCTTCAGTGTCTCTTTCATCTACCCCTTTCCCCCTCCCCATGGCCCTACCTTGATCTAACCTGTCCTCTTCCACCTGGGTCCCTCCCAGCTCCTACCTTTGCTCCCTCTGGTCCACCCTCCATGTGGCAGTGGTAATGTGATGAAGTCACTTGCCCAGAGTCACACAGTTTGGAAACCGCAGACACAGGCTTCAAGCCCAGTGATCTGCTGGGAGTTACTATGTCACACCATTTCTCCTAGAGCAGACATTCCGTGGATAATTTGGAATGAATGACTAAATGAATAAAAGTGAATGAACAAATGAATGAATGAATGAATGAATGACGGCCCCAGCATAGGTGTCTGTGAAACTGTGCTTCAGTTTCACAGACAAGTTGCCATCCTGCTGAGAGCTGCTCCTTGTCTGTGATGTCTGCCAAAGCCCTCCGTGCCCGGAACACCGGAGATGTGAGAGTCGGCTCCCACCGTGGTGTCCCTGATGGCCGTGCCCTCTCTCCCCACAGCCGGAACAGACAGTCCTCATTGACAACTGTCGGCAGCAGTGTACCTGCCACGCGGGTAAAGGCATGGTGTGCCAGGAACACAGCTGCAAGCCGGGCCAGGTGTGCCAGCCCTCCGGAGGCATCCTGAGCTGTGTCACCAAAGGTGCCGGGCTGGGGCTGGGATTGGGGCTGCCGAGACTAGGGATGAAGTACGGGGACTCTGGGGCTGAGGGGGGCGTGATTGGGATGCTCATGGCGGGAGGTGTTCAGGACTAAGGATTGAGGTCGCAGACCTGGGGACCCCAGGTTTCATAGGACCAGGGCCAACTACTCTGGGAGGCAGAGACCTATAGGGGGAATCCAGGCTGTGGGGACCCTGAGAGGTAGGATTCTCAGGGTGGATGTCAGAGTCCCTTGGGATAAGGCAGGGAGAGGCGCATCTTTGCTCTAAAGGGCTACGTAGTAAATGTTTAAGCTTGCAGGCTGTACAGTCTTGGTCCCAGCTACTCACCCTGCCATTGTGGCACGAAAGCAGCCATAGACTATGAAGTGAAGAGGCGAGGCTCCTATAAGACTTTAGAATTCCAGAACAGGGCTGGGCATGGTGGCTCATGTCTATAATCCCAGCACTTTGGGAGGACCAGGTGGGCGAATCACCTGAGGTTGGGAGTTGGAGACCAGCCTGACCAACATGGAGAAAGCCAGTCTCTGCTAAAAATAAAAAATTAGCCAGCGTGGTGGGGCAAGCCTGTAATCCCCGCTACTTGGGAGGCGGAGGTGGGAGAATCACTTGAGCCTGGGAGGCAGAAGTTGCCGTGAGCCGAGAATGTGCCAGTGCACTCCAGCATGGGCAACAAGAGTGAGACTCCTTCTAAAACAAAACAGAACAAAAGAGCCAACTACAGGACCTGTGTAGACACGAGGATGCTGGAATCTGGTCTTGCCTGCGGTAACCCTCAGATCCCTGGCACAGTGTGGGGTAGATGTGGAGGGAGCAGCTGTCCTTTAGAATGGACAGGCTTTCAAGGTCGCCCTCTTCTGTCCCCAGACCCGTGCCACGGTGTGACGTGCCGGCCACAGGAGACGTGCAAGGAGCAGGGCGGCCAGGGCGTGTGCGTGCCCAACTACGAGGCCACGTGCTGGCTGTGGGGCGACCCACACTACCACTCCTTCGACGGCCGCACGTTCGACTTCCAGGGCACCTGTAACTACGTGCTGGCAGCAGCTGGCTGCCCGGGGGTCAGCACCCAGGGCCTGACACCCTTCACCGTCACCACCAAGAACGAGAACCGGGGCAACCCTGCTGTGTCCTACGTGAGACTGGTCACTGTGGCTGCGCTCGGCACCAACGTCTCTATCCACAAGGACGAGATCGGCAAAGTCCGGGTATGTGTGGCAGGATGGTCCCCTGAGCTCCCCGGGAGGGCAGGAGGGATCCCGACCACCACAAGGCTCTTTGTCTTCAAAGGGCCTGGGCCTGAAACAAAATGTCAATAAGAACAACAATCATTACAGCAGAAATATCCCCCTGTGACTGGGAATTAAATGAGCCTGGCCCCTTGCTACAGGCTTTCACTCAGGACCTCAGCATCTGGCTTTTTAATAGACCTGGCTTTGAATCCAGCTTCTCCTTCTTCAGAGCTGTGTGATGTTGGGGAGTTCACTTGGGAGGCCTCAGTTTCCACATCTGTGAAGTGGGCATTGTAGCAGGGCCCGCCCCACAGTAAGGCGGTGCACGTCACATGCTGAGCTCAGGGTCTAGCTCAGGAGAACACTCCTTTGAGTGTCTGCAAGGGAACAAGGGAGAGGCCCAGAGGCCAGGACATGGAGAGCAACACAGGTAGAGCAGGCCGGGCGTGATGGCTCACATCTGCAATCCCAGCTCTCTGGGAGGCTGAGGTGGGTGGATCACCTGAGGTCAGGAGTTTGAGACCAGCCTGGACAACATGGTGAAACCCCTTCTCTACTAAAAATACAAAAATTAGCCGGGTGTGGTGGTGCCCCTGTAATCCCAGCTACTCAGGAGGCTGAGGCAGTAGAATCACTTGAACGCGGAAAGCGAAGGTTGCAAGAGCCGAGATCGCGGCACTTCACTCCAGCCTGGGTGACAGAGCAAGACTCCATCTCAATAAAAAGAAAACAGAAAAAAAAAAAAAAAAAAAAAAGAGAAATATAAGGAGATCGGGGCAGAAAGACGGGCTATCCTTTCTGCCCAGGGAGCTGGTGATGTAGCTTAATAGCAGCCCAGGGAGAGAGTGAGGGGCGGAACAGAATCAGCACTGGGTAAATGATGGTGAGTGAAAAAGACACACACAGAGTGACGGAGGCAGGGAAGGGAGAGACAGACAGAGAGAAGAAGACACAGAGAGAGAGAGGGACAGAAGACCCAGATATATAGCCTCAGATGAAGAGAGAGGGCGAAAGACACAACTGAGATAGGGGAGAAAGACAGACATTAGGGGAGAAGATCTAGAAAAAGTAAAGTGAGGTTTCATTCCACAAGACCTGGGCTAGAGCAAACATCAACACTGTGTCAGATGATAATCCACCTGTCGGAGGAAGACTGGCCTCTCACAGCCCCTGGTAGGATGAGAGACAGGGAGGCAGGGTCCAGAGCTGGGGCCTCCCCACCTGGAGTGACCCGGTTGCCTCCTTCGCTGCTCCCTGCAGGTGAATGGCGTGCTGACAGCGTTGCCTGTCTCTGTGGCTGCCGGGCGCATTTCAGTGACCCACGGTGCATCCAAGGCATTGCTGGTGGCCGACTTTGGGCTGCAAGTCAGCTATGACTGGAACTGGCGGGTAGATGTGACACTGCCCAGCAGCTATCATGGCGCGGTGTGCGGGCTCTGCGGTAACATGGACCGCGACCCCAGCAACGACCAGGTCTTCCCCAATGGCACTCTGGCTCCCTCCATTCCCGTCTGGGGTGGCAGCTGGCGAGCCCCAGGCTGGGACCCACTGTGTTGGGACGAATGTCAGGGGTCCTGCCCAACGTGCCCCCAGGACAAGCTGGAGCAGTACGAGGGCCCTGGCTTCTGCGGACCCCTGGTGCCTGGCACAGGGGGCCCCTTCACCACCTGCCACGCTCATGTGCCACCTGAGAGCTTCTTCAAGGGCTGCGTTCTGGACGTCTGCATGGGCGGCGGGGCCCACGACAGTCTCTGCCAGGCGCTGGCTTCCTATGCGGCCGCCTGCCAGGCCGCTGGGATTGTCATTGAAGACTGGCGGGCACAGGTTGGCTGTGGTGAGTGTTGGGGAGCACAGGCGGGGATGGGGACGGGGTCCTGTCTCTGGGGGGCTGGTTTGCTTTCACTCTGGTCCTGCTGAGTCTCTGTGTTTGCGTCTCTCCCTGTTTGTCTCTGTGCCTCTCTTTGCTTGTTTCTGTCTGTCTGTTTCTCATCCTCTGTCTCTGTGTCTCCCTCAGTTTCTGCTTGGGTCTCCTGCTTTCTCTCTCTTTCTCTCATTTCTTTCTGTGTCCTTCTCTGTCTCTCTGTGTCTGCTGCTCTGTCTAACCTTTCTCTGTCTGCTCCCTTGTGTCTCTCTCTGTCTCCTCCCACAGTGTCCTGGGACCCCTAACACCGTTTTCTCTGTTTCTCTTCTTCCTGCTCCTTCATCTGCCCACAGCGATCACCTGCCCAGAAAACAGCCACTACGAGTTATGTGGCCCACCCTGTCCGGCCAGCTGCCCATCCCCTGCGCCCCCCACCACCCCAGCCGTATGCCAGGGTCCCTGTGTGGAGGGCTGCCAGTGCAACGCAGGGTTCGTGCTAAGTGCTGACCGCTGTGTTCCCCTAAGCAATGGCTGCGGCTGCTGGGCCAATGGCACCTACCACGAGGCGGGCACTGAGTTTTGGGCTGACGGCACCTGCTCCCAGAGGTGCCGCTGCGGGCCTGGGGGCGGCTCACTGGTCTGCACGCCTGCCAGCTGCGGGCTGGGTGAAGCGTGTGCCCTCCTGCCATCTGGCCAGCACGGCTGCCAGCCTGTCAGCACAGCTGAGTGCCAGGCCTGGGGTGACCCCCATTACGTCACTCTGGATGGGCACCGATTCGATTTCCAAGGCACGTGCGAGTACCTGCTGAGTGCCCCCTGCCACGCACTACCCACGGGGGCTGAGAACTTCACTGTCACTGTAGCCAACGAGCACCGGGGCAGCCAGGCTGTCAGCTACACCCGCAGCGTCACCCTGCACATCTACAACCACAGCCTGACACTGAGTGCCCGCTGGCCCCGGCAGCTACAGGTGAGGAGGGCGGTGGGCCAGGCAGGAGCAGGTGCCAGCTCTGCGGCTGCCTGAGATGGTAAGGGGTTCCCGATTCCCCCCAGCACCTTTCACAGCTTGGCGGCGGCATGATGCAAGGGTTCAGAGTATACGCCAAGGAGCCTGATGGCCTGGCACAGCGGCTTCTTCCTCTCTGAGCCTAGTGTATTCCTCTGCAAAATGGTCTAAGAAAAGTGCCTGTTTTAGAGAAGTATGAGGAGTCAGTCACGTGTGCCTACAGAGGCTTTTTTTTTGCTTTAATTTTTTGGGATGGAGTCTTACCCTGTAGTCCAGGCTGGTGTGCAATGGCGCAATCTCACTGGCTCGCTGAAACCTCTGCCTCCCAGGTTCAAGCAATTGTCCTGCCTCAGCTCCGGAGTAGCTGGGATTCCAGGAGCGTGCCACCAAGCCCGGCTAATTTTTTGTATTTTTAGTAGAGACGGAGTTTCACCGTTTTGGCCAGAGTGGTCTTGATCTCCTGACCTCGTGATCCACCTGCCTCGGCCTCCCAAAGCACTGGGATAACACCATGAACCATTGTGGCGGGGCTTCTCTTTCTTTCTGTTTTTCTTAGCCTTACTCTGTCGTCCAGGCTGGAGTGCAATGACAGGATCAGGGCTCACTGCAGCATGGAACTCCTGGGCTCAAGTGATCCTCGCTTTCGCCTTGGCCTCCCGAGTGGCTGGGCAGGACTAATGGCAAATGCCACTATGCTGACGAATTGTTAAATTTTTTTTTAGAGTTGGGGGTCTCACTATGTTGCCCAGGCTGGTCCCAACTCCTGACCTCATGTCATCCTCCCAAGTCGGCCTCCCAAAGTGCTGGGATTGCAGGCTGTGCCATCAGGCCTGGCCTAAAGATGCTGCTTATTATTTTCAGAGGGGAGGTGACGTGCTCAGGGTCCCACAGTTAGTACGTGGGGGGGCCAGGATTGAAACCTGTGTTCGCTCCGCTCATCGCACCCCCAATCCCCACCCGCAGGTGGACGGCGAGTTCGTGGCGCTGCCCTTCCAGCTGGACTCGCTCCTGCAGGCACACCTGAGCGGCGCCGACGTGGTGGTGACCGCGACCTCGGGGCTCTCGCTGGCTTTCGACGGGAACAGCTTGGTGCGCCTGCGCGTGCCGGCGGCGTACGCGGGCTCCCTCTGTGGCCTATGCGGGAACTACAACCAGAACCCAGCAGACGACCTGAAGGCGGTGGGCGGGAACCCGGCCGGGTGGCAGGTGGGCGGTGCCCCAGGCTGCGGGGAATGTGTGCCAGGGCCTGGCCCGCATCCTTGCACGCCGGAGCAGCAGGAGGCCTTCGGCGGCCCGGACGCCTGCGGCGTGATCTCAGCCACCGACGGCCCGCTGGCGCCCTGCCACGGCCTCGTGCCGCCCGCGCAATACTTCCAGGGCTGCTTGCTGGACGCCTGCCAAGCTCAGGGCCATCCTGGAGGCCTCTGTCCTGCAGTGGCCGCCTACGTGGCAGCCTGTCAGGCCGCTGGGGCCCAGCTCGGCGAGTGGAGGCGGCCCGACTTCTGTCGTGAGTACTGATCCATGTATGGTCCACATAGCAGAGTCTCTCCCTGCCCTTCCCGAGAGTAAGACAGCAGCCCCTTCCTCTTCCATGGGCTCAGGGGCCACCGTCGTTCCTCTGAGCTAGCTATGTCCTGTCAGGAAACACCTTGGCACCCACACACTGAAATGCACCGGGTCAGGAACTGCAGGGAGAGGACATCAGTTAGAAACACCTAGTCAGAGTCCAGGGACCTTGGCTCATGCCTGTTATCTGAGCACTTTGGGAGGCCGAGGCAGGCAGATCACCTGAGGTCAAGAGTCAGAGACCAGCCTGACCAACATGGTGAAACCCAGTCTCTACTAAATATATAAAAATTAGCCAGGTGTGGTGGTGCTCCTGTAATCCCAGCTACCCAGAAGGCTGAGGCAAGAGAATTGCTTGAACCCGGGAGATGGGGGTTGCAGTGAGCCAAGATCGTGCCACTGTACTCCAGCCTGAGTGACAGAATGGTATTCTATCTCACGAAAAAAAAAAAAAAAAAAAAAAGAAAAAAAAAAAAAGAGGAAAACGCCTGTAATCCAAGCACTTTGGAGGCCAAGGCCGGTGGATCACCTGAGGTCTGGAGTTCAAGACCAGCCTTACCAACATAGTGAAACCCCATCTTAAAAAAAAAAAAACTAAACAAAGAAAGACAGGGAGGGGGGAGGGAGGGAATGGAAGAAAGAGACAGAAAGAGAGAGAGAAAAAGATCTAGTCGGACACCCTGGGCCCAGGACACTCTTAGGCATTAGTGATTCATGTTCTTGGGTAGGGAGGGAAAGGAAGGAAAAAAGGAAAGAAGGAAGGAAGGAAGGAACAAAGGGAGGGAGGAAGAGAAGGAGGGAGGGAGGAAGACCTAATCAGAAACCCCAGGTCCAGGACACTCTTGGGATTGGTGATCCATGCTCTCAGATATCCAAGGCATGTAGATTGGAATGGCTGATGCTGGTGACGTCACACAGCAAAGTACCCCTGGTTTGGAAGACCTAGTAAGTTACAGCTGGTCAGAGGCCCCTGGTCTGTTTCACACACCAAAATGCACCTAGTGACATAGAATTAGTCAAATACCTTCAGTGGTATCTGCTTAGATTTTACACTGAGGCTAGCCGATCACATACACTGAGAATCAGGACCCTGCCATAGCCCCGGGCAGATCCACACAGACACATAGTTAGGTAGTCCTAGGTGGTTCCCTTCAGACAGGTCTCCTGGTCACATGTATCCTGCCAACTTCACTCAGAAACACCCTGAGACAGACCATGTCAGAGGGACTCTGGGAGATGCTCCAGGTCAGATACCCACAGCTGGGAGCCCTCAGGCAGTTTTACCCTGAGATACATGTGGCCCCACACCCCATTCACTTTCACACCCTGAGACCTCTGTTCTGATCTTGAATATCCTGGTCGGTATAAGTGGTCCATTTCACCCTGGGTTACAGTCTAGGTTACATAGTGAGACCCCATCTCTACAAAAAATAATAATAAATTAGCTTGACGTGGAGGCTTGCACCTGTAGTCTCAGCTACTCGGGAGGCTGAGGCAAGAGGATCACTTGAGCCCAGGAGGTGGAGGCTGCAGTGAGCCGTGACTGCGCCTCTGCACTCCAGCATGGGTGAGATAGAGTGAGACCCTGTCTTAAAAGAAAAAAAAGTCAGCCAAGTAGAGTCATTTGTTCTTTAGAAATATTTGGTCAGGTTAACATACAAGTTGGTCAGAGAGACCTGGGCATGTCCCCCCCAATTCCATGTCCCACGCTGAGTCCCCCAGTTACATGTCCTGGATCACATGTGGATGCCCAGAGACACCCAAGCTGGCCCGAGCAGTTTTCCCACTCAGGGCCTCCCCAGACCCCGACAAACACCTACCTGGCTCATGCCCACCTTGTCCCCACAGCCTTCCAGTGCCCTGTGCACAGCCACTATGAGCTCTGCGGTGACTCCTGCCCCGTGAGCTGCCCTAGCCTCTCGGCACCTGAGGGCTGTGAGTCGGCCTGCCGTGAAGGCTGTGTCTGTGATGCCGGCTTCGTGCTTAGTGGTGACAGCTGCGTACCCGTGGGCCAGTGTGGCTGCCTCCACGATGGCCGCTACTACCCTCTGGGCCAGGCCTTCTACCCGGGCCCTGAGTGTGAGCGACGCTGTGAGTGTGGGCCTGGTGGCCATGTCACCTGCCAGGAGGGCCCGGCCTGTGGGCCCTATGAGGAGTGCCGGTTAGAGGATGGTGTCCAGGCCTGCCATGCCACGGGCTGTGGTCGCTGCCTGGCCAACGGCGGCATCCACTACATCACCCTCGATGGCCGTGTCTATGACCTGCATGGCTCCTGCTCCTATATCTTGGCTCAAGTCTGCCGCCCGAAGCCTGGGGATGAGGACTTTTCCATTGTGCTTGAGAAGAATGCGGCTGGAGACCCCCAACGCCTGCTGGTTACTGTGGCGGGCCAGGTTGTGAGCCTAGCTCGGGGGCTGCAGGTGAGTGGCTGTGGGCCTGCCCTCAGGGTCTGAAAGCAATGCAGCGTCACCTAAGGGGTTCTGAGGGAGACCCCACCCTGTAGGTATGAGAGGGGTATTCCTCCAACCTGGAAGCTCTGAGCCTTACCCTGGAAGGTCTGGTGAATAGGATCACCCAGGGAGAACTTTTTTTTCCTTTTTGAAATGGAGTCTTGCTCTGTTGCCCAGGCTGGAGTGCTGTGGCATGTTCTTGTCTCACTGCAACCTCTGCCTCCCAGGTTGAAGCGATTCTCCTGCCTCAGCCTCCTAAGTAACTGGGATTAACAGGTACCTGCCACCATGCCTGGCTAATTTTTTGTATTATTAGTAGAGACAGGGTTTCACCATGTTGGCCAGGCTGGTCTTGAACTCCTGACTTTGTGACCCACCTGCCTTGGCCTCCCAAAGCACTAGGATTACAGGTGTGAGCTACCACGTCCAGCCCACCCAGGGAGATTTTTGTTTTGCTTTGTGATAGGGTGTAGTTCTGTCACCCAGGCTGGAGTGTAGTGGAACAATCACCTCTCGATGCAGGCTTGATCGGCTGGGCACAGGCGATCCTCCCACCTCAGCCCCCCATGCCTAGCTAATTTTTTTTTTCTATTTTTTCTTTTTTCTAGTCTTTCTAAGGTTCAATTCAGGTAGCCTAGCTAATTTTTTATTGGTGGTAGAGATGAGGTCTCGCTGTGTTGGCCGGGCTGGTCTTGAACTCTTGGGCTCAAGTATTCCACCTGCCTGGGCCTCCCAACATGCTGGGATTGCAGGTGTGAGTCACCACACCAGGCCTGGTCCCCAAGAAGTTTAAAAGAACATGACCTGAGCTTAATGGGACTGAGGGAGATGAAGCTCTGCCCTGGGGGTGTGACAGGACAGTGTTACCTGTGGTACTGTGGGTTCCTGACCTACCTGACCCTTCCACACAGGTCACCGTGGACGGCGAGGCTGTGGCCCTGCCTGTGGCTGTGGGCCGCGTGCGGGTGACCGCCGAGGGCCGAAACATGGTTCTGCAGACGACCAAGGGGCTGCGGCTTCTCTTTGATGGCGATGCCCATATCCTCATGTCCATCCCCAGCCCCTTCCGTGGACGGCTCTGTGGCCTCTGTGGGAACTTCAATGGCAACTGGAGTGACGACTTTGTCCTGCCCAGTGGCGCAGCAGCATCCAGCGTGGAGACCTTCGGGGCTGCATGGCGGGCACCTGGCTCCTCCCAGGGTTGTGGCGAGGGCTGCGGGCCCCAAGGCTGCCCCGTGTGCTTGGCAGAGGAGACTGCACCCTATGAGAGCCACGAGGCCTGTGGGCAGCTGCGGAACCCCCAGGGTCCCTTTGCCACCTGCCAGGCCGTGCTGAGTCCCTCTGAGTACTTCCGCCAATGCGTGTACGACCTGTGTGCCCAAAAGGGTGACAAAGCCTTCCTGTGCCGCAGCCTGGCAGCCTATACAGCGGCCTGTCAGGCAGCTGGTGTGGCCGTGAAGCCCTGGAGGACAGACAGCTTCTGCCGTGAGTGTCCGTGGGTCCCTCAGAGGACTCTAGACCAGGTGTAGGGGTCCCTCCTGGCCATTCCTTCTCTCTGAATGTTAGGAGTGGTTTCTCCCTATGAAAGCTCTCCCTCCCCACCACTCCCACCCCACGCCCACACACCTCCTTCTCCCATGGCATGGTTTGCTAGCTTTCCTGCTACCCTCAGACTGTTCCTTCTCAGCCTCCTTTCTGGCTCACTCTCCTCAAACCTCAAATTCACTTTGTCCCTAGAGCTCTACCCCGGGCTCTCTGCAGTGACCTGAAAGGGAGAGCTGAGTGGGTTGGGAGGTCTGTGGCTCACCCAGACCCTCCTCTACCCCCTGACAAGACCATATCCCCTCAGATCCCCCCAAGACAAGGCTGCAGCCTCTTAGAACACCCCTCCGCCCCCCGCAAACTAGGGCTGTACCTCTCATTCAAATTCCCAGGGCAGGGACATTCCCTGAGACTCTCAGGATAAAGTAATGGCGCCTCTGGCCCCCGGTCAGAGCCAGGTCTCCCCTGGGCAGGACCTGTACCCAGGGCCATCGTCCACGCCTATGGCCACGGATTTGTTCTCACTGTTGACTGTGGACCTGGTCTGTCTGTCTCAAGCCCTGAACTCTCTCCTGCCTGTCAGCCCAGTTATCCTGATTTCTGACTTCTGGCTTTCAGAACTGTGGGAGAATGAATTTCTCCTGTTTAAGCTACCAAGTCTGTGGTCATTGTTAGGGTATCCAGGACATCTTCTCCTGGGTGTCCTTACCCTCTCACCTGCTGTGTTCCTAAATGAAATCAGCATTTCACTCCCAGCCCATCCCTGGTGGGCACTGCAGAACAGCCACACCATCCACCAATTGCTTAGCCAGAGACCAGGGACTTACCATGGCTATTTCCCTTGGGTCTGTAGAGCCCGTGTCCCAACCCTGACCCCTCCGCCTGTGCCCCTCATAGGAGCCCTGGTCCCTCTGCCTGTGCCCCCCACCCCAGCCCTGACCCCTCTGCTTGTGCCCTCCATATCCTGGCCCTGACCCTTCTGCCTGTGCCCCCTGACCTCGGTCCTGACCCCTCTGTCTGTCCCCTCCCATCCTGGTCCTGACCCCTCTGCCTGCCCCCTCTCCATCCTGGTCCTGACCCTTCTGCCTGTCCCCCCCATCCTGGTCCTGACCCCTCTGCCTGTCCCCCCACCCTGGCCCTGACCCCTCTGCCTGTCCCTGCAATCCTGGTCCTGACCCCTCTGCCTGCCCCCCCATCCTGGTCCTGACCCCTCTGCCTGCCCCCTCCCATCCTGCTCCTGACCCCTCTGCCTGTACCCCTCTATCCTGGTTCTGACCCCTCTGCCTGTCCCCCACATCCTGGTCCTGACCCCTCTGCCTGTCCCCCACATCTTGGTCCTGACCCCTCTGCCTGTCCCCCCCATCCTGGTCCTGACCCCTCTGCCTGCCCCCTCCCATCCTGGTCCTGACCCCTCTGCCTGTCCCCCGCATCCTGGTCCTGGCCCCTCTGTCTACACTCCCTGATGCAGCATGTTCAATTTGAGCTGTTCCTGTCTGTCCCACTGGACATGAGATCTGTAGGACTGGGGTTGAGGCTGTTCTCAACACTTGTGTCCTCAGCACCACCTAAAAAGGGCTGGGTATGCAGTGGGCCCCATTGGTTATCCAGGACCCTTTGGAGGTATGATTACGCCCTGCCACCTCTCTCTGCAGCGCTCCAGTGCCCCGCCCACAGCCACTACTCCATCTGCACACGCACCTGCCAGGGCTCCTGTGCCGCTCTCTCTGGCCTCACGGGCTGCACCACCCGCTGCTTTGAGGGCTGTGAGTGTGACGACCGCTACCTGCTTTCCCAGGGTGACTGCATCCCTATCCAAGATTGTGGCTGTACCCATAATGGCCGATACTTGCCGGTGAGTAGGGGATTGGGCAGAGCAGAGAGGGTAGAAGAGCTTGAGAGAGACCCAGAGCGTCTTCTGTGCTGACCTCTTCAAGGCAGGGGACAGAGGAGGCACTGCCATCTCACAGCGGTGTGACTCGATGCAGGCACCTCCCTCCCTCTGTTAGTTTCCTACAGCCTCTGTAACCAATGACCGCAGACTTGGCAGCTGAAGCAGGAGAAATTCATTCTCCCACAGTTCTGAAATCCAGAAGTCAGAACCTTCATCTCTGGATGACATCAAGGTGTTGGCAAGGTGGCACTCCCTCCAGAGAAATCTAGAGGATGCCATGCCCAGGGTCTCACACTTGCAGTCCCAGCCCTTTGGGAGGCCAAGGCGGGAGGATCACTTGAGCCCAAGAATTCAAAACGAGCTTGGGCAACATACTGGGATCCCATCTCTACATTAAAAAAAAAAATTAGCTGGGCGTGGTGGTGCACACCTATAGTCCCAGCTACTCAAGAGGCTGAGGTGGGACCATTGCATGAGCCCAGGGGTCGGAGGCTGCAGTGAGCTATCATCACGATGCTGCTCTCCAGCCTGGGTGACAGAGCAAGACCTTCTCTCTTTTCTTTTTGCCCCACCTGCAACTGTCTTGATCGAGTTGTAGAGCAAGACCTTCTCTCTAAAGAAAAAAGGAAAAAAGAAATCTAGGGGAAAATCTGTTCATTGCCTCTTCCAGTTGCTGGTTGCTGCAGGTTTTCCTTGGTTCTGGCCACATGACTCCAACCTCTGCCTCCTCTTCTGCGTGTGTCATGACATCTCCCTCTGCTTCCCTCTTACGAAGATACACATGATTGCATTTAAGGCCCACTCAGATAATCCGGGAGAAATTTTCCATCTTAAGATCCTTAATTCTGCCGGGTGAGGTGGCATGAGCCTGTAGTCCCAACTATTGGGAGGCTGAGGCTGGAGGATCGCTTGAGCCCAGGAGTTCTGGGCTGTAGTGCACTATGCCGATCAGACGTCCTCACTAAGTTCGGCATCAATATGGTGACCTCCTGGGAGTGGGGGACCACCAGGTTGCCTAAGGAGGGGCGTACTGGCCCAAGTCGGAAATGGAACAGGTCAAAACTCCCGTGCTGATCAGTAGCGGGATCGCGCCTGTGAATAGCCACTGCACTCCAGCCTGGGCAACATAGCGAGACTCCCATCTCTTAAAAAAAAAGGTTCTTAATTCCATCTCATCTGCAAACACCCTTTTCCCATATAAGGTAACACTTACTCATTACAGGGATTAGGACTTGATATCTTGGAGTGGGGGCATCATCTGGGCCCTCCTTGAATGTCATTTTCTTCACCTGTAAAATGGGGCTAATCACCCATCTTAGTGGCATAGGTGGCTGAGGATCACGCTCAATTATGCAGGAAAGATACCCACTGAGCACTAGGCCTTGCCCTGCGTGTTCATCACACTGGGTAAAAAGAAATAGTGGTTTACAACAGTGCAAATAGGTGGCCCAGCTAATACTTGTTTAATAATGTGAATTGAATTGCAGAATTGATTTATTCTTGTTAATGATTTTTGAGCTGTTACCGTGCACCATGTTTGTTATGCGTGTTATTTTATTTTTATTTATTTGTTGATTGAGATAGGATTGCATGCTGCCTCCCAGGTGGGAGTACAGTGGTGTGATCATGGTTCACTGCAGCCTCGAATTCCTGGGCTCATGTGATCTCCCTGCCTCAGCTTCCTGAGTAGCTGGGACCACAGGCTCACACTGCCATGCCTGGCTGATTATTATTTTTTTTTGTAGATATGTGGTCTCGCTATGTTATCCAGGCTGGTCTCAAACACCTGGGCCCAGGTGATCCTCCTGGCTTGGCCTCCTAAAGTCCTGGGATTACAGGGATGAGCCACCTCTCCCAGCCATGTTATGGATGTTAGTTCATTTAATAATCACGGCAATTCTATGCAATAGATACTATGGCTCTTTTTCCGATTTTACAGATGAAGAAATTGTGACATAGAGAAGTCAGCCCAAGGCTACCCATTAGCACACTATGCTAACTTGCATTGCTTGCACATGGAGCCAAATTTTGCTCCTTTCTTCAGGTCTCAATGCCTCCTGGAAGCCATCCATGATCCCCAGGCTGGGTTAGGTGCCTCCTCTAAACCCCTACAGCTCCTTATGCTTCCCCATCCCTGCCCTGACCCCTCTGCCTATGCCAGAAATCTTCCTGGATTTGTGAGTTTGGTGTTCAAGGGACAGGACTGGCCCAGAGATGTGGGAATCATCAGTGTAGAGATGGCATTTCTGTTGTTAGTTACATTTCTTCATTTCTTACCTGTATCGGTTAGCTTTTGCTAGGTTCCCGATCACTCCAAAATGTGGTGGGTTAAAACAACAATTATTCATTTCGTTTGCAATTTTGTGACTGCAGTTTAGGCTGGGCTTGGCTGGGCAGTTCTTCTGCTATCCCCTGGGCTTACCTCATGTATAATATCTGTAGTCACCTGGTGGGTCAGCTGAAGGCTGCCTGGTCTAGGGTGGCCTGAGCTGGAAGAGTTATCTATGTTCCGTGGGGTCGCTTATCTTCTAGGGAGCTAGCCCAGGCTTCTTGTCATGATGGCTGGGTGAGGTTCTATGTATCTCTGTGAGAGAGAGAGAGAAAGAGAAGCTGTAAGGTGTCTTGAGGTCTAGGCTTAAACCTGGCACAACATTGCTTCTTCTGTGTGTCACTGAACTAAATATAGTCTTATGGCCAACCCAGATTCATAGGGAGGGAGAAATAAATTCTATTTCTTAATGGGATTCTGTAAAATCACTCTGCATAAAAACAGAGGGTTCAAGGAGTGCTCGAGACCATTTTTGTGATCCATCACACCACCATAACCTGGCCCCTTTCTTTGCACAGATGAACTCCTCCCTGCTGACCTCAGATTGCAACGAGCGCTGTTCCTGTTCCCCAAGCTCTGTCCTGACATGCCAGGCAGCTGGCTGCCCACCAGTCCGTATATGTGAGGTCCAGGCTGAAGCCCGGGACTGCTGGGCTCCCCGTGGTCTCTGTTTCCTGTCTGTGGGTGCCAACCTCACCACCTTTGATGGTGCCCGTGGTGCCATCACCTCTCCTGGTGTCTATGAGCTCTCTTCCCGCTGCCCAGGACTAGAGAAGACCATCCCCTGGTACCGTGTGGTTGCTGATGTCCAGACCTGCCATGGCAAAGCTGAGGCTGTGGGCCGGGTCCACATCTTCTTCCAGGATGGGATGGTGACAGTGACCCCAAACAAGGGTGTGTGGGTAAGTTTGTGAGTGGGGCTGGGGAATGTCTCCCCTGGGCTTTTGCTCTTCTGATTATAGTGTCCCCACATTCCTGGCTTCCTTTCTGTCTTGCAATCTGTTTTCTTTATCCATGTCTCTGCAGTTTGGTCTCTGGATTGGTTTTTATCTCAGTAAGTTTTTAAACTTAGTCCCTTTGTTCTGGCTGAGTTCTTGAGGAGCAAAAACATACTCAAGTAACTTAATAGTTTTGACATTAGTATGAATTGAGACTCTATTGGTTGCAAGTGACTTAAAACCAAATTCAAGTTGCCTTAAGCAAAATTGAATTTATTGGTCCGTGTAACTAGAAAATCCAAGGATGGAGCCTCAGGAATGGCTGGATCTGGGTGCCCTGGCAATATTATCATAAATTTGTATTTCTATCTTTGAGACTTGCTATTTGCCAAATCAGCTTATTATCAAACAGGCTTTCCACTTGCAGGGGTAAAGACAACCCCCAGCTGCCCAGGCCTACATCCCACCAGCTTAGCTACCTTAGCAGAAAATGGTTCAACCAAAGACTCAGGATTATATCTCATTGGGCTAGTTTGGGTCACATGCCCACCCCTGGAGCCAATCACTGTGACTTCAGGGAGGAAGTTCTGTGATTGATCAAGGCTGGGGGTGGGGGTCACATAATGTGTCAGGGTTTCCCGTAACCACCCCCAGGTTCAGTGACTCACTAGGACTCACCGGACTCAGCATACAGTTGTATTTAGGGCTAAGATGTGTCATAGGGAAAAGATAGTGAAATCAACCAACAGAAAAGATGCATCATGCGAAGTTCAGGGGAAATCAGGTACAAGCTTCTGAGAGTCCTTTCTCGGTAGAGTCACACAGGATGTGCTTAATTCCTGCAGCAATAAGTTGTGATGAAACATGAACTGTTGTCTACCAGGGAAGTTTATTAGAGTCTCAGTGCCTGGGGTTTTGGAATTTTGGTATCCACCCACCAAAGTTCCAGACTCCTAGAAGGAAACTCCCAGAAGATGTTCAGCATCTTTGTTCATCACTGGACTATAAGCCTCAGGTAGGCAGGGATCCTGTCCATCTTGGTCACCAGTACCCAGATCAGAGCATGGCACCTAGAGGGTTTTGTGAATAAACTTAGCCTTGCTCCTTTTGTGCCAGGCCATGTGCTGGATAACAGAGATGGCTCAGACTCAGTTATACATTACCCTACTTAGACTTTCCATCCCCTAGTCTTCATCTATCCTTCACTATGCCCATCCTCCTTTTTCTCTTCCCTTCCTCCAGTATCTATTCTACCCCCTTTTTCTTTTTCCTATTTCCTTACTTCTTGTCTTCTTTTTTTTCTTCCATCCATCCATTCATCCATCCATCCTTCCATCCATTCACCCACTCATCCACCCAGCTGTCTTTTCAGATCTATCTACCGATCTCTCCAATCATTTGGCAGAGGAAAACTCAGATACAAAAGCATTTAGAGGGCCGGGCATGGTGACTCATGCCTGTAATCCCAGTACTTTAGAAGGCCAAAGCAGGCAGATCACTTGAAGTCAGGAGTTAGAGACCAGCCTGGCCACCATGGCGAAACCCTGTCTCTACTAAAAATACAAAAATTAGCCAAGCATGATGGCACATGCCTGTAGTCCCAGCTACTCAGAAGGCTGAGGCAGGAGAATTGCTTGAACCTGGGAGGTGGAGGTTGCAGTGAGCTGAGATCACACTATTGCACTCCAACCTGGGTGACAGAGCAAGACTCTGTCTCAAACAAAGAAACAAACAAAGCACTTAAAAAAAAAAGAACTCTTTCAAGTTCTTTCTCTAGGAAGTTTCTCTAGGGAGTCTAACTTTAGAAGGGTTAATTCGCCAACTAACATAGACAACAGTTATTTAAAGGAAACAAACTCATAAAGTTACTGGGTCTGCAGCCCATGATGAAGAAAAAGGAATTTTCTCAGATGATTATTATATTTGCTAAAGTCATTACTTATCTTCAGACATCAGCACTGCAAAAATAAAGGATAACATTGCTTTGGTTAGGGAACCAGCAACTTACAGGATGTGCTCAAAGTTTATTTTATTTTGCAAACTAGAACCAGGCTGAGGTAGGCAGATCACCTGAGTCCAGAAGTTTAAGACCAGCCTAGCAACATAGTGAGAGACCCCATCTTTACAGAAAAAATACCAAAAATTAGCTGGGTGTTGTGGCGCACACCTATAGTTCTGTAGTCTCAGCTACTCAGAAGGCTGAGGTGGGAGGATTGATTGAGCCTAGGAGGTCAGGGCTGCAGTGGGCTGTGATTGCGCCACCGCACTCCAGCCAGGATGAGACAGCAAAACCCTATCTTAAAAAAAAAAAAAGAAAAGAAAGGCCAGGCGTGGCGGCTCTGGCCTGTAATCCCAGTACTTTGGGAGGCTGAGACAGGCAGATCATGTGGTCAGGAGTTCAAGACCAGCCTGGCCAAGATGGTGAAACCTCATCTCTACTAAAAATACAAAAATTAGCTGGGTATGGTGGTGGGTGCCTGTAATCCCAGCTACTCAGGAGGCTGAGGCAGAACATTGCTTGAACCTGGGAGGCAGAGGTTGCAGTGAGCTGAGATTATGCCACTGTACTCCAGCCTGGGTGACAAAGTGAGACCCCCTGCCCCACAAAAAAAAAAAAAAAAAAAAAAAGAAAACTAGAACCATACAGGATGACCCTGGGGCTTGATTGTTTGACAGACTTTGGGGTGTTGTGTAGGTCCATGGGTCCATCTCTCCATCCCTCTACTCTCCTTCCTTCTATCCATCTATTCAGATGTCCAGCTATCTTCTCGTGTATCTATTGCTCCAAACAGTGCAAACATCCAGGTCTTCATCTCATTGATTTAGCTCCGTGAACTTATCTTGTTTGGGGTCTCTCCATCCTGGTAACACCCAGCTTTTCTATGGCTGCGGCCTCACCTCTGTGTTTGCTGCCCACTCCCCACCAGGTGAATGGTCTCCGAGTGGATCTCCCAGCCGAGAAGTTAGCATCTGTGTCCGTGAGTCGTACACCTGATGGCTCCCTGCTAGTCCGCCAGAAGGCAGGGGTCCAGGTGTGGCTAGGAGCTGATGGGAAGCTGGCTGTGATGGTCAGCGATGACCATGCTGGGAAACTGTGTGGGGCCTGTGGAAACTTTGACGGGGACCAGACCAATGATGGGTATAACTCCCAGCAGAAGCCAGCGGTGGAGAAATGGAGAGCACAGGACTTCTCCCCATGGTGAGGGATGTAGTATGAAAACCGGGCTTCTTGGGGCAGAGGCGCCTGGATCCTCATGGGATGAGGGCAGTCAGGGTGGATGGTTAGTCTGCAAGCGGAGGTGCTAAGTATCTGTCTCTTGCAGTTATGACTGATCAGTCATCCAAGGGGAATGAAGACTTCCTGAAGATGACCTGATCCTCCTGGAGGTTGCAGTGTCTGAAGGATGCATCATGTGCTCCTACCCTGCTCTACCCCTTTTCTGGGTCACAGAGGCCAAATGGGAGAGCATTGAATAAATATCTTAAGCTAAGCTGCATGCCAGTGTGTCTGTCTCATGCCTTCTCATCCCTGACTTTCCTCCTGCACAGCAGGTATCAGGTGCCTGAGGAAGCTGGCAAGTGGTGAATATTTATTGGGGGCTGGGAGGACGGATGGGTGATTGCATGAGTGGGTGAAGAGGTGGATGGGTGAATTGAGAAAATGGTGTGTGGGGAACTAAGAAGATGAGGCGATGGGTGATTAGAAGAATGAATGGATGAATGAGGATTTAAATGGCCAGGCACAGTGGCTCACGCTTGTAACCACAGCACTTTTGGAGGCTGGGGCAGGAGGATTGCTTGAGCCCAGGGGTTTGAGACCAGCCTGGGCAACATAGTGAGACCCCATCTCTACAAAAAATACAGAAATTAGCAGGGTGTGGTGGTATATGCCTGTAGTACCAGCTACTTGGGAGACTGACGTGAGAGGATCACTTGAGCCTGACAGGTCAAGGCTGCAGTGAGCCATGATCGTGCCACTGCACTCCAGCCTGGGCGACGGAGTGAGAGTCTGTCTCAATAAAAAGAGAAGATAAATGATTGGATGGAGGGAAGGAGTGAAAAATGGAGAGAGAGATCAATAGATTCTGGCTTTATCATTTATAACCCTAGCAAGCTATGTAATTTCTCTCTGGATCAGTTTTCTCATCGTTAGAGCAGAGTTAATGATGGTACTTATAGAGTTGGAGTGAAGATTTAATGTGTTAATGCAATCAACAAGTAAAAAACTGAAGTCTTGGTTCCTTTTCAAATCTGTCCTCTTCCCATGATGGTCTTCCCTACCTTCTTAAATAGCACGACCAGCACCCAGTAAGTTCAGCAGCAAGAAAATGGGGAATTATTCTTGATTTCTTCCTCTCCCTTGCCATCCACTCAGTTCCTTAACAAATCATTTTGAACTGTTTCAAAACATACCCAAGGCCAGGCTCGGTGGCTCACTCCTGTAATCCCAGCATTTTGGGAAGCCCAGGTGATCGGATCACGAGGTCAGGAGTTCAAGACCAGCCTGGCCAACATGGTGAAATCCTGTCTCTACTAAAAATACAAAAATTAGCCAGGTGTGGTGGTGGGCACCTGTACTCACAGTTACTCAGAAGGCTGAGGCAGGAGAATCACTTGAGCCTGGGAGGCAGACGTTGTAGTGAGCTGAGATTGTGCCACTGCACTCCAGCCTGGGTGACAGAGCAAGATGCTGTCTCGGAAAAAAACAAACAAACAAACAAAAAAAACCCACAAAAACAAACAAGCAAAAAACACACCTGAAATCTGCCTTCTTATTATGCTCACTGTCACCACGTGGTACAAGCCATTGTCCTAACTTCCGTCAATAACACGATAGCCTACTGTCTGATCTTTCCCTTCTGCAATCCTTTGTCACAGCTGCCATGAGAATCTTTCTTAAAATATAAATAGGTTGCTTGGGACCAGGAGTTCAAGACCAGCCTGGGCAACATAGCAAGATTCTGTCTCTACAAAAAAATTTAAAAATTAGCCAGGTGTGGTGGTGCATGTCTGTAGTTCCAGCTACTGGGGAGGTGGGATGATTGCTTAAGTCCAGGAGTTTGAGGTTACCGTGGGCTGTGATTGCACCATGCATTCCAGCTTGGGCAAGAGAGCAAGATCCTGTCACTTAAAAAAAATAGTAATGATTATATATAGGTATACGTGTGTGTGTGTGTGTGTGTGTGTATACATAAAATATAATTATACATTTCTCTTATAATAAAATCAAATTCCTTAACCTTGTCCCATGAGGCCCCGTCAACCTCTTCTGACTCATCTCCCATCACTATCCTCCTTGCCAATTATGATCTGGGAATGTGATCTTTCAATTTATTGAATGTGCCGAGTTTTGCAACTTTGGTCCTTTGTAATATGCTTGTCCCTCCACTCATGACATGACTGGCTTTTTCACATCCTTCAATGCCATCTTCAATGTTAATTAACTTAGAGGGGACACTTTCATGATCCCTCCACCAAAAGTGGATCCCCTTCTGTCCCACCCTTTTGCTAAATTCCTTCTTAGCCTTTGTCACACTTTATAATTACTTTTGTTAGGATTTCTGTTCAATTAGAAATAGCTGAAGGGCAGAGACTGTATCTGCTTCATTCACTACTTTATTTGCAGCCCCTAGCATAGTCTGCCACAGAGTAGGTGCTCAGTACATATTAGATGAAGACATAAATAACCACAAACAAATCTAACAAAGGGTTAATATTCACACTATGCAAACAGATCCTTTAATAAGAAAGACAAGAACCCAATTAGAAAAAAATGGGTTGGCCAGATGTGGTGGCTCACACCTGTAATCCCAGCACTTTCGGTGGCCGAGGCAGGCGGATTACCTGAGGTTGGGAGTTCAAGACCTGTCTGCCCAACATGGCAAAACCCAATCTCTACTAAAAAAATACAAAAACTAGCCAGGTGGGGTGGTATGCATCTGCAATCCCAGCTACTCTGGAGGCTGAGGCAGGAGAATCGCCTGAACCTCAGGAGGCGGAGGTTGCAGTGAGCTGAGATCATACCACTGCCCTTCAGCCTGGGCAACAACAGAGCAAGACTCCATCTCAAAACAAAAAAATATGGGTTGAGGATATAAACAGGCAATTGAAAGAAACCTAAACATGTTGAATGCATATAATATGTAAGGTTCTTTGTGTACAATATTTCGGAACTTCAAGATTACTCTGTGAAATGGGAATAGACAAAGAAATAAGATCAGTGAAGTTAAATAACTTGCCCAAGGGCAAACAGTTTGTAAATAATGGAGCCTAGATTTGAATCTAGATGTGTCCTCTACCATAGCGAGTGCTTTCTATTGAATTTTGCTGTCAACCTGGAATTGATTTCCTTTCGAGAAAAAGAATTAAGAGGTCCTAAAAATAAAGAATAAAAAACAACATTCCAATAGAAAAATAGGCAAACGATTGGAATCGTTTATAGAAAAGGAAATACAAATTGCCTTAAAACCTAAGGAACTGGCTGGGCGCGGTGGCTCACGCCAGTAAACCCAGCACTTTGGGAAGCCGAGGTGGGTGGATCTGGGGTCAAGAGATCAAGACCATTTAGGCCAACATGGTGAAACCCCATCTCTACTAAAAAATACAAAAAGTTAGCAGGGCATGGTGGCACGTGCCTATAGTTCCAGCTATTCGGGAGGCTGAGGCAGGAGAATTGCTTGAACCCGGGAGGTAGAGGTTGCAGTGAGCCGAGATCGCGCCACTGCACTCCACCCTGGTGCCTGGTGACAGAGTGAGTGAGACTCTGTCTCAAAAACAACAACAAAAAACCCACAAAAATTTGAGTTTTCGCTGACAGGTGTACCCAATGCTAGCCCTTATGACCTTGCTGTGGACATTCCTTCATTCATTCAATAAATGTGTTTTTGCCAGGAGTGATGGCTAACACCATAATCCTAGCACTTTGGGAGGATAAGGTGGGAGGATTTCTTGAGTCGAGGAGTTTGAGACCAGCCTGGGCAACACAGGAAGACCTCATCTCTAAAAAATAAAAAATAAAAAAAATCAATGAATAAATAAATGTATTTGAGCACCTACTATGTGCTAAGTTTGAGATATTTTGTGGTAGGTTGAAAAGTGCCCCCACCCCTGCAAAGATATCAGATCCTGATCTCTTGAACCTGCAAATATTGCCTTATGTGGATAAGTGGTCTTTGCAGGTGTGATTAAGTTTCTTGAGACAGGGCGATTATCCTTGATTGGATTATCTGGGTGAGCCCTAAATGTAATTACTCGTATCCTCTTTGTTCCCTCCCTCTCTCCCTCCCTTCCTTTCTTTCCTTCATTATTTCTTGAGACAGAGTTTCCCTCTTGTCACCCAGGCTGGAGTACAATGGCGAAATCTCAGCTCACTGTAACCTCTGCCTCCTGGGTTCAGGCAGTCCAGGCTTTCTTCATTGCCAATGGCATTGGAGAATTGGGGAGTGTAGCTTGCAGATCAACTTCTCAGCTCTTCAAAACTGGGAGGTTACAGATAAAAGATATTCTCAATGAATGTGTTGAGCATTAAAAGCAAGGGGAGGAATATTTATGCCTTTTCTTGGGAAGCGATGGAGATTTTCTTGGAAACAGAGTCACCTCTTTTTTGTCCTTTTTTGGTCTCTTCTGGTCATTGTCAGCTGTCATGTCGCCAGTAGGAGTGTGGAAATTGGATGACAATAAAGCTAGGGGTTCTTCAGAGAGGTCAAGTAAGCTGCCCAAGAAGGAACCTCTGGCCACAGACGCCCTGTTACCTAAAATTATGTAGTTACATGAAAAAATGCTCAACATCACTAATCATTAGGGACATGCTAATGCTTCCAGTGTCTCTCAGATAGTGTTTCACACCAGTCAGAATGGCTATTACTAAAAAGTCAAAAAATAACAGATGCTGGTGACGTTTCAGAGAAAAGAGAATGCTTATACACTTATACACCGCTGGCAGGAGTGTAAATACTTCAGCCATTGTGGAAAGCAGTTTGGCAATTTCTGAAAGAACTTAAAATAGAATTACCATTCCACTCAGCAATCCCATTGTTGGGTATATACCCGAAGGAATAGAAATTGTGTACAGAATGGGCGCAGTGGCTCACATCTGTAATCCCAGAACTTTGGGAGCCGAGGTGGGTGGATCATCTGAGGTCGGGCGTTCAAGACCAGCCTGACAAACATGGAGAAACCCCACCTCTACTAAAAATACAAAGTTAGCCAGGCGTGGTGGCACATGCCTGTAATCTCAGCTACTTGGGAGGCTGAGGCAGGAGAATCACTTGAACCTGGGAGGTGGAGATTGCAGTGAGCCACTGCCCTCTGCCAAAATTCTTATGCAGAATCTGTTCACCCCTGATGCCTCTCTCTGCCTCCACTCTTACCTTGTTCATCCTTGTCTCCATCCTGATTCATTGCAGCAGCCAGTCCTTGGTTTTCCTGCTTCCACCCTCACACCTGCAGTCTGCTTCTCACATGCAGCCAGAGGGACCTGTGTCAGATCACACTCCTT